GGCGGCCTTTATCTGCTTCCTGACTGCAGACTCGACTTGATTCTTCTCCCACACGAGGTCACCCGTTGAACACAGCTCAGAATTCCAAGTGGAGAATTAACTTCATTCAGTTCTGGAGATTTAGTGATTTTTATTTATTTATTTTTGTATGTTTGTTTGTTTTTTCCTACCTAGGAGAGTCATCTCCTCTGGTTCCAGGAAATTTTATTGTATTTTTCTTTAATTTCTACTCTCAAACTTGTGATCCTCCTGCCTCAGTCTCCTGACCTTTTAGGGGGCAGGGAGTACCCAGGATACTCAACTGCTGAGCCAAACCCTCTGTCCTTTTTATTTTTTATTTTGAGATAGGGCCTTGCTAATTGCTGAGGCTGGCTTTGAACTTGTGATCCCCTTGCTTCAGCCTCCTGAGTCGCAGGGATCACGGGTGTGCACCACCGTGCCTGGCCCCCTGGCACCTTTTGATACCTGGCTGTTCTGTGTTTTCGGCCTGTCTCTGGATGGTTGGCCTGGTCCTCACTCAGCATGAATGCTTCATGAGCAGCGCCAACTGAGCAGAGCCAAAATGAAATGATTGGCTTCTGTCGCTCTCCCCCAGCCCTGCTCCTCCCCAGCCTTCCCTTCCTTGCTGGGCGCCGTCAGCGATGAGAAAGCTCCTTTGGAAACATGAGCCAGAGCAAGTCCGTCCTTTGCTTAGAACCCTTGAGTGGCATCCCTCTGCTTTGAATGACTCAGGTGGCTTTTCAGGCCTGCGCACCCTGCATGAGGCTTTATCCACCTGCTTCTGCAGCCACAGCTTTCCCTCATTATCCTCCAGCCTCTAATTTCTATTTTGCCATTGCAGGAATCCCACCCCCTCCACCAGCCCAGGAACTTTGCATTTGCTGTGCTCTCTACCTGGAAGGCTTTGCCCCCTGATTTTCCTCCAGACTGACTCCTCCTTGCTATCCTTCAGCTCTGCATTCAGTCCCAGATGCCTCCCCTAGTGCCCCTGCGGGCTGCCTCCACCCCAGGCATACTGCATCCAGAGACAGCTCGTGCCTCCGTCGAACTTTGAACTTGCCCCAATTCAGCTGTCTATTGGACTCGTGTGTCTGTCACTAGGATTGTGTTAAGAAGTTTGTGCGACGGTTCAGCATTCTACCTTGAGCACTCAGGACTGTGCTTGCACACACAAGGCATTTCGATAAGTAGAAATCAAATCTGTGAAGAGAATCCTGGAAGCTGAGAGCCAGAACTGGCTCCAGAGGATCTGTCTACCATTGCTTCAGGGGCCCCAGGGATCATGAGTTCAGCACCTTGGTTGGGTTCCTGCTGTCTGCCTAACCCCTGAGACCCTGGCCCCAGGAACCTGGGCTCAGGAGTGCAGAGTGGTAGAGAGAGAGAGGATGGTGTGGAATTGCAGGGTTCACCCGGGGCAACCTCACTCTCTGAGAGTCTCACACCTGGATGCCTCTCAAGGGCCGCTCACGTTCTGTGTTCTTGCCTCTCCTGTGTTCCATCCCAGGGGCTTGAGGCACACCTGTGGCTCCTCTTGCTCTCATCTGCTTCTCACTGTGCACACCAGCCCCTATTTGATACTTAACTCCTCTCTTAGCAGCTAAGAGAGTTCTAGAATGCAACTTTCACCATGGCAGATTGCCTGTGGCCCCTTGAACATGCAGCCTGGCCCCTCTATTCAGCTGAATTCTATTTGCTCACTGAATGCGGCATACGCTAAAGCTTCAGAACATTCCAAAGTAGTTTCTTGAAAGCTAAGTTTAGTTTATTCCTCAAAGGCCCCAAAATAACACCTGTCACATAAGATTTTCTTTGTGGCATTTTTTTGGGATGAGACCAAATCACCGTGTGCACGCTCACACACATACATGTATGTGTTCACCTTCTTCCACAGAGATAGTGTATGTATTCTTCTGGATTTCCTCTCTTTGTGCGTTTTTGTATCTAGTGCACTATTAGGACCCAGCCAAACTTTTAATTTTGCCCCACTGTACCATCCAAATAGCAAAGGGCAACATGGAGCCGCTGAATTGCAGAATTTCGGAAGGTTACTTTAACATTACATTTGAATTGCTTAATTTAATTTTCACTTTGAATCTGTTGCTAAGCAACCAGGAAGACAGGGCAAAATCAGCAAGGCTAATTTGGTTCTGTTACTAGTATGTTAGCATCTCTTATATTTACATAGACAGTTGGTTGTAAATACACTTTAGCCAATGCAGGTCTCTGTTCTGTTCAAGGAAAATAGTTGGTGCAGAAGCTATAGCGAGGCTTTGTTTGGATTGACGGTGCTTTCAATCCACTCGCTTACCTTAAGCGACCATGGAGTTACCTGAAGTTCTTCACCTGTATTGTCACCCGTTGTTAAACGGGGGGCCCAGCTTAGGAGTGACATGCACAGTTGGAAAGTAGTGCTTCCCGGACCATGTTCCCCTCACCCATGTGGATCCAGCCTGCCTCTTCCCCAAATCCACTTAAGTCGATTTTTTTTTTCCTTGTTGGAATGCAAAGCAGTTATCTATCAGTCTGAGAATATGTTAGAAGGGGAAAAATAGGTCATTGTATTCTCCATGACTTACTATTGATGAAGATTGACATCGTTAGCCCCATTTGGTCCACAAAGTAAGCTATATGTCAAATAACAGGGCTGGCGACATCTTTTAAACAAAGTTATCTAGTTATTAAAGAAGTTATCCTGGTCTAGTCCAGATGACACCCTGGGCCCCGTGTCAAAGATGGGGCATTCGATTCTGGCCAGTGGTCTCATGGTTTGTGGTTATTCTGGAGGTTCATATACATCGGGTTGGTAGAAAAACTGTCAAGTTGAGACAGTAAATGACCATGATCTGTGGTTTTCAGAAGAGACAGAGGGAGCAGCCCATCTTTTAAACTGGTTTTCTTCCATATTTTTTGTTTTCCCAAGAACTAGCCAATATCTTTCATATGCATTGAAAATTACTTGGAGTAGATGGATCAGATTTCTGATAAAGATGAATATCAGGGTTCCTATATTTTATGACTGCCCCTGACTAGGTGGAAATCCTGAGTTGTTGAAGGAAATGATAGCAATAGAGAAAGTACCTTTTGCTGCTACAATTAAGTGCTGTTTCACTGTTTTCCTGAATACTGTTGAGAATCTGGTCGTGGAGCATGTGGTTAACAGTTCATTGATCCTGACTGGAAGGAGGAGCCATCTGGAGTAGAAGGAAAGTCTTAGTGTTTACGAACTTGACAGCAAATGGATTTCTCTAATTCTGAGATATTTATTTGGCGGGAACAATAGCTAGGTAGGCTGTGAAAGGTCCTCAAGGGGAATCTTTCATAAATAGCAGAGAAGTCTTGTGGGTAGTTCTGACCTGTTTTCAAGGTGCAGTTTTTCCAAATCTGAGTATTTGCTTGAAATTTATTAATTTTAATCTACAAATACTTAACCATTCAAAAACCCAGGATGTCAAAATGTACGCTCTTCAGGAGGCAAGTGTCAATTTTGAATATTAGTTTCCTTGGGAAATTATTTCTGAACGTATTTTTGTTGTGCTTTGTTTTATTCTGTGCTAGGGATTGAGCCAGAGCCTCATGCATGCTGAGCATTGCTGGTCCACTGGGCTAAACCCCCAACCCACTGAATTTTTTTTTTTTAATAACATCTCTATCCCAAATTTGGGTGAACATAGTCCTCAACTTTGTGTGTATGTGTGTGTATGTACTTTTAAAGCTACATATCCATATTACTGCACTAGTATATTGTACACATTATAAAACTAGTGAGACAGAGTGGGGTTCACCATGGTGATTTGCAAGACCACATGCCCATTGATACTTCACACGGATGCTTTAAGATGGATAGAGTTCATCATTAAAGACAGGGTCTTGGGCTGGGGATGTGACTCAAGTGGTAACACGCTCGCCTGGCATGTGCGGGGCCCCGCTGGGTTCAATCCTTAGCACCACGTAAAAATAAAGATGTTGTGTTCATTGAAAACTAAAAAATAAATATTAAAAAATTCCCTCTCTCTCTCTCTCTCTCTCAAAAAAAAAAAAGGGTCTTAAATGGTGATTTTTAATTTCTGAGTGACTTCTACTCAGATCTGATTAGATTATCATCATTTTTACCTTTTGAGTGGCTGCAGAAAACTGGGCTCCATTCTGCCTTTTTCTTGTTTCTTGGGCTTGTACCCCTCCTATCTTTGATGTTTTACTGTTTGTTTTTTTTTAAAATATTTTTGTAGTTGTCAATGGACCTTTATTTTATCAATTTGTACGTGGTGCTGAGGATGGAACCCAGGGCCTCACACATGCTAGGCAAGTGCTTTACCACTGAGCCACGACCCCAGCCCTGATGTTTCGCTTTCTTCATGTAAATCTTCACGAAGCCACTGGTCTGTGTTGCAGGGGTTGGATATGCTGCCTAAGACATTGTACAAAGTCACATGAGCCCAGGCACCCTGAGCAGAAGCACATAGGGGTATTGTTAATGAGGGTCAGCAAGGGTACACGCTGTCTCAAGGCGAGGGAGGTGTTTTCGCTCTGCACCCCAGGGGTCTTCTTAACCTGATACTCTGCCCCAGGAGGTGCCTCCACCTAGGCCAAGTGAAGCTGTTACCATTGCATCCTTTAAAATCTAGGGACACCAAAGAGACTGGGTTTCTGCAAGGGAATAGCCATCCACAGTGAGGACTGGCTGTCCTTCTGTTTGTCCACTAAGAAGTGAAGCAGATTGGGGGTGGTTATTAAGAGCACTGGGTTTGGACATGGAGCCCAGCTGTGCCAGTGGCTCTGTGACAAGGGACGATTGACTCCCTCTCTGTGAACTTCAGTTTCCTTATCTGTGACCTCACTGGTGGTGGGGAGAATTTAAAAGAGAGCTATGTAGAAGGGTTTTGCAGCATTCCTGAAGTGCAGCATAAGTGAATACCGTATGTCAGTGCAGGTGGGAAGCCTGGGTCCTTGGGTCACCTGTGGGCCTCCATGGTAACCATTGCCCTTTGTCACTTTGATCCTAGACTGCCTCTTCAAGCTGTGTCCTATGAATCGCTACTCGGCCCAGAAGCAGTTCTGGAAAGCTGCCAAGCCAGGGGCCAACAGCACGACCGACGCGGTGCTGCTGAACAAACTGCACGTAGGTATCGGGACGGCCGCGGTGGGCTGTGGGCAGTGGGCATGGTGGCCGTGACTGGTCCCTGGGTGGTGCCTGAGCACGAGGGCTGGCGCCTGGCTCAACCCTCCTCTCCAGCTGCTGGCTTTCTTATGCTCCTTTGTTAAAGGAATACGAGGGAGAGGACCCCGAGAAGAGGCTCATTGTAGCCCTCTTGAGATGTCTGGGAGCCACTCTGGCCTCTGCCCCTTTCACGGGCAGTTTTGGGCAGCAGAATGGCTACCAGCACAAGATTATGAATGTGATCTTGAGCAAGTCCCTCAGCTATCTTCCAACTCTGTTCCTTACCTGTAAACTGGGGATGATGGTAATGTGTGCCTCAGGAGGTTGACCTGAGGATTATATGAAAAGTGACATAAAAGGCACATGAATGATGCTTACTAAACTTTGGCTTTTATGATTGTATTTGTCCAATTTGTCACCTAAGCAATGTGCTCATGCCACTGCTGATGTGCTGTGTGACTCCAGCAAGTTTCTGTAACTCTCTGAACCCGTTTCTCTTGACATAATTCCTTTAGTACCCTGCACTCAGAGGGTAATCTGTGTGGAAGTTCTAGAAGTTTAGAAGGCGGGTCGAATGGACATCTATCGTTGTGGAGTTGAAATTGCCACCCAGCTCCTGCTTGTCATCTGCCATCATGTTCTCCTCCACGTCCCTGTGGTCCATCCCATGTTCTCTCCCCGGTCCATCCCTGCCCAGGAAGTAACCAGCATGTGGCATTTTGCTTGTTGCTGTGTGTCCCTTGTGCCTACAGCATAGTAGCGCATAGTAGGCCTTCAAATAGGTGAGTGAAGAGTGGTGATGCACCTTGCAAGAGTAGCTGTGAGCACCAAGGACCTTGCCAGGTCCCCCAGGTCCGCCTGCCCTGTTTGTGACTTGATAGGACAGTGGCCTAGCCAGCGGCGTTCGCTAACGTAGGGGCTGGGTGGAGGTTTGTCCTCTTCATTCAGCACCTGCTGTCTCACGAGGCGCTCAACCAGGAGGGGTGAGAGCCCAGGTTCCTAGGCTCAGTGAGCTGAGGCCCCTTCCTGAGGACATGCGTTGCACCAAAGATAAGTGCAACTTCTTGTGATTTGCAAGACCACATGCCCAGACCCTGCTTGACCCTCCAAAGCTTCTGAACTGCCCTCCAGCCAGACTTGATTGATTGATTTGAACCCAGGGATGCTGAACCACTGAGCCCCATCCCCAGCCCCTTTTACTTTTTTAAGTTTTGAGACACAGCCTTGCTAAGTTGCTTAGGGCCTTGCTGAGTTACAGACAGATGAGATTTAGTTCATTTCTTTTTTTTGAGCACCCCAGGATTGTACCAGTCGCTTGACCTTTGCACCCACGGTGTGTCCTGTTGGCAGAAAGCATCTCCTGGCTTCTCTTGAGCGGGGACCTTGCATCCTTCTTATCTCACTGTGCCTGTCATCTTGACAAGCCACCTCCACCAGTCTAAGATCTGTCCTGCCTGTTTTCCTCCCTGTATATACCATCCCCAGCGCTGATCATAGGCTGTGGTTATTTTTAGTCATTTCTTAATTATCTGTCACTCATTAGAACACCAGCTCTACAAGGTCATGGGCATTGTCCCTCTTGTGGACGGTCACTTCCCCAGCTCCTGTCACCCTGCCTGGCGCATAGTCAGAGCTTTGGAAGCAGTTGTTGAGTGGGTGAGCACTGTGCTGGGTGCTGGTGACAGAACAGTCTCAGCCCTCTAGGAGCTCCTTAGAGGAGAAGGGGTCAAGGGGTGGGCTGTGGGTATAGCTCAGTGGTAGAGCACCGTCCGAGGAGGCACCAGGCCCCTGGCCCCATCCCCAGCCCCAAAACGGGGAAAACAGGTAATGACAGTGTGACAGAGGCCATACTTCAGGGCAGACCACCCGAGGGAGGGGAAGCACACAGAAAGGTACCACAGTCTGGCTTTGCTGGATGAGGAGGTACGGTTCATTGGTCAGGGAGGGCTTCCTAGGGGGACAGAGAAGGGACTCGTGAACCTGAGCCTGAGGTGACTGTGGGAGTGAGAGGGGAGAAGAAGACATGGGGGGTGAGGCCCAGGAGGCTGGAGACTGCTCTGTGCACTTCAAGAGCAGCATCTTCCTTGTAGCAGTAATAGTAGTTCGTGAACTTAATTTCCACACACCCATTGCTCCCTATCCATAGCAAATAGATAACTTTCTGAATCTGTGATAGAGTTCATAATGCTAAACTTTAAAAAAATCAGTTACAAAGGATAAGTAAAAGGAAAATAATAAATTGCCTAAAAAGTTGGATACCTAATGCTCAGGACAACGATTCTAGAAGATGGGAGGGAATCAGGCCCTGCGTCTATTTCTGCACGCTGCAGGTACCCAGTCTTAGTTATGCAGAAAGCATGTTACCTGTGTTGTGATTTTTCCAAAAGGGCCAGCAGCTCTCGGAAGTACTACAAAGAATGCAAAGTGACATTTTCCTTTGTCCAATAGTACTTGCCCTTTTGTAAAATCTATTAATAGTGTTAATCAAACCACACATTTATCTTTGTGTAAAGTGGAGTGAGGTGCTAGATTAAGACAGTCAGACACCTTTTAACTTAAGTGAATGTCCAGCCAGCCCTGCACTTAAACGGCATGAGTGGCAATTCCTTGGATAGATCTGAGCCTCGGCTGGCCTCTGATGGCGGGCAGCGTGCCTGGCTTCTGTTGTAGGAGTAGCATCCTTCTCCTCTTGCAGTCCTTGTGCCTGTGCAGAATCCCCCTGAAGTCTATGCTGGGAATGTGGGTAGGGAAGGGTTCTGCATGTCACTCAGGAGAGAGCTGTCGGGTGTGGAAGGCGTCTCTGTAGAAGGTCTGCGTGTCTTGAGCGTTTGCTTCTCTGCTCTAAAGATCGTTCTATTCCACGAGGTCTCATTCGTGTACCTCCAACTCTTTATCTCCTACTCTTTTTATAGCAGGGGTGCAGATTCCTGTTGCTCTTGGTCAAGCAGGAGACTAGTGGGGAGAAAGGGGGTTGGGTGGCAGTGTTGCCCACGGAGGGAGCCTGTGTGCGGGTCTGGAGGGGGCAGTTCTCTCTCCCTGCGGGGACTGTGTGGGAAGCCAGGCTGAGAGCCACACAGTGTCTTCTGCTTTTTCAAGAGAAGATAAGAATCCATGCTTTTACGTGTAAGACCTCCATTTAGAAAACATGTTGGCAGCTGATTCAATTAAAGCTGGAAATGTGCACTCAACACCAATCCCAAAATGGCTCAGGCCGAATGGGATGGTGGAGTCTCATTTGCCACCGGTGATCTTCTTTTTTTTTTTTAATATACTTTTTGGTTGTAGGTGGACATAATACCTTTATTTTATTTATTTATTTTTATGGGGTGCTGAGGATCGAACTCGGTGCTTCACATATGCTCTACCAGCCTGTCATCTTCAGGTTGTGTTTTATTAGCAATTCCTTTTGATGTTCCTTTTCTGCCAGTGGATCGTGAAGTAAGCAGTACAGATAGGAAAAAGAAACTATCTGGTTCTTCAGGTGATCAGGAACTTTGAATTCCTTATGAGAGAGAGTGGAATGATCTTTCATGAAGTTTGTATCTTAAAGTCAAAGAAGACCACGTCTTCCCCCGACAGAGGGTTACCCGTGTGACTTTTCCAGGCCCTGCGTGTTGGTCTGTGCTGGACTTTGTGTAGGTCCCTGGAACTGCCCTCCTGTTGTCTGAAAGTCATTACGTTTCGGTACAGCCATTAAAAGGGCTGTGTTTGGGGTCAGCCACTTGCCTTCGGCCTTCATTTTTATTTTTGTCCACTGCCGTGCAGTACCCCAGTCAGAGGTCAGATTATTTTAAATTAATGCCATTTAAGGAATTGGTTGTCTAGACCACTTGACTTCCTTTTGACCAGGAAAAGCAACACCAACAGCCCTTTGAAGGAGAATGACATCTAGTGGCTGGTCCCGGCATTTGCTCCCTCTGCAGAAAGAACTGGATGTTGAGTCTTTGGGTCATGATTTCCCAGAAGACTCTTGGGAAAATGAGCTTCCCCGGCCCTTGCATCACCTAATTCCTCCTGAAGCAGGAGCTCCCTGAAGCTGTCCACCTGTCCCCATGAACAGGCACCTACGTTGTTTGGATTAGGACAAATGATCACTTAGATTAAGCCATACCTTTGATAGGAAGAACCAGAGGAGCGACAGATCTTCACTGTCTTTTAAAGCTTGGTTGTTTATTTTCAGGAGCCTGGATCCATTATCACATGATGTGATCAGAGCTCGCTGACCTTAACTAACCTTTCCTCACTGTTCCAGTGACCTTTCTATGGTGATTCAGTAATGGTTTCTGTGTTTCTAAAATAAACGAGCAGGTGACTATGATGGGGTTGACCTTGATGTTGTTTACGGAACACAGGAGGTGGATAGTGTGGCAGAAACCCTAGCATGGACTCTTCTCTTCCTTCCCCATGAAAAAACAGCCCCCAACCCGTGTGAAAGGAAGGGAGTCCCGGGGATTCCATTGTCAGGATTTTTAAAGACTGAAAAGGTAAAATCATCATCATCATCATCCAGGTTATTTGCCACAGACACACAACCAAGATGTTTTTAGAGTTTACATACATGAGTTCTGTAGGAGAACAATTGCAAAGTAGGTATGAGTAAGAGAAGGAAAAAATAAAAACTTAATTGATAGGATCCTTAAATCTCATTCCTTGGTCACGCACTATGGTGTACACCTGTAATCCCAGCAGCTCAAGAGGCTGAGGCAGGAGGATCACAAGTTCAAAGATAGCCACAGCAACTTAGTGAGACTCTGCCTCAAAATTAAAAAAAAAAAAAAAAAATTAGGGCTGGGGATGTGGCTCAGTGATTAAGTGCCCCCTGGGTTCAATCCCCAGCATGCCTACCCCCTAAAAAAGACAAAACTCCTTAGTGATAACCTTGATTTTTATTTTGGTATGTGCCCTGCTTGCCCACAGGGAGATTTTTATATAGTTAGTGGAAACATACTTTTTAACTTTCCTTTAACTTATTTCTTTCACTCTGACATGGTTAAACAGGAATCTGTATCTACCCTCCCACCCCAGTACTGGGGATGGAATCCAGGGTCTTACATATCCAGGCAAATGCTTACTGGACTACATTGTCAGCAATACATCTATTTATTAATTTAATTTAATTTTGAGGGAGGGTCTTCCTAAGTCGCCCAAGCCGGCCTTGAATGTGAGATCTTCTTGCCTCAGTAGCTGGGATTGCAGGTGTGCACTACCAAACCTGGTTACATCCTTATTTTTAATAGCTACATGATTACTCCATTGTGTGGCAAGATTATAGTTTTGGATAACTAGTCCTTGTGACAGGGTAGGAAGTGACATTCAGGATCCTGGCAATTTTTGCCACTTTGAAAAAAAAAATGTTGTGTGCATGCCAGTTTATGTAAGCAGGAGAAACTCCTAGAAGTAGAATTGCTAGGTCAAATTAGACCCACTGAAGGGTCGCATTGGTCAGTATTGCTGGACTCCCCTTTAGAAGGGTATTGTCAGTCTTTGGCAGTGTGGGTCAGCATGTGGAATACGTTTATGGGGTATAACATAGCATGTGTTCCTTCCAAAGAACCAGCCTTCACCGGTGAATGCATTTGATGTTTATGTATTTAGCAAATTACAGATTTTTCTCCCTAAACAAAGAGCTAGGAAAAGTGAATTCTTAGAATGGTCCGTAAGTTGAATGCCTTTAGCATTTCTTCAATAGTGACATGTAGACTCGGTTACCACTAAAGTTATTCATAGAGATGAAGAGAGTCTTAGCTTTTATTGTAACAGAGAGCCTTAACTGAATTTTAGGTGCCATATTCAAGAATATCTTTGATGAATTGGTCCTTCTCCAATTTTGATTTTTCTGTTTATTTTCTATGTGTTTTTAGACAACTGCACTTGCTCCGTAGAGGAGCTGGCATTTAATTAATCTTTAATGTGACACAGGCACCTTTCTAATGTTTATTTGACATTTTTCAGTTATAGTAGTGTCCAATGAGTTGCTACTTTTACACTTAGTTTAATAGGTAGGAACTTAATATTGTAGATTAAAGTATCTTAAATTGAGATCTTTGGAAATTTCTTAAGAGTAAGGGGAATGTCCACAAGAATTTTTCCCCTTAAATAATTTGAGTCCAAGAAATGCTACTTAAGAATTCTCTAGCTGATGCAATGATTGATTCACAACTGTAATCCCAGCGATTTAGGAGGCTGAGGCAGGAGGATCGAAAGTTCAAGGCCAGCCTCAGCAATTTAGTGAGACTCTGAGCAACTTAGGGAGACCATGTCTTGAAATAAAATATAAAAAGGGCTGGGGATGTGGCTCAGTGGTTAAGAGCCCTTCCAGGGTGATGTTTGGAACAGAGGAAGATCCTTATTTGCTTCTTGAAAAATGTTAGGTTTAGTTACACAGAATCCATTGATTTCATTTTTCTTCCTTTGACTTTTTCTCCCTCTTGAGTTTCCAGTCAGTGCTTGCTGAGAACCACTCGGCAGAAAGAACAAATCACTCTGTGTACAGTACAAACTCCCATTCCAAATGGATCCACTCCAGTGTTTTGTTTGGAAAACGGCTTCAGAATCTGTGGGTATTGTGGAGCTCTCTGGAAGGAATGAAGCCCAGGCAGGAAAACAGGGAGACCGAGGGAGGGTTTATGGAGGGGAAGGAGAGAGGGCAGAATTGTGGCCCCGGGCAATGCCACGTTGTCTGCCCTGGTATTGTTTCCGGACCTGTCTTGAACCCAGTGGCTCCGTTGAGTTGCAGTGACCGCCACGCACGTGGGCAGATCATTTCCTTCCTGGGGTACGGTTCTGTTGGGGGTCTGGATTGCCTCCTGACCTACCACTTTTCTCAAAAGATGTGCCTTTCTAAAAACACTTACCCCTCAGGTGGAGCTGGAGTGGATGCTGAATTTGAAGGGAACAGGAAGATCCTTGACCCAGCTGACTTGGGTCCAACCCTTTGGAAATTTTGATCATTAGAACGTTCTTAGTTTTAGAAATCTGTGCGTCATGATAATAGTGCAAAGTCATTGAAGGGGGGCCCAGTGGTAGACGGTTTGTTTGCCTGGCTCATCTGAGGTCCTGGGTTCTGTCTCCAGCATGGCCCCAAAAATAAATTAATAAAATATTACCAAAAGCCTATGATGTCCCTGGCAGGCACTGTCTCAAAGCCTAGCATGGGTCCCCATTTTCTGATAACTACACTGAGTGAGATTAAGTGACCAGGACAAGAGGACACAGGTGGCACAGAGCAACCCATGACGAAGTCCAGAAGGGCAAAATGAAGACAGGTTTCCTGGGAGAGGGACCCACTGACTTCCATAGCCCCCAGGGAAGGGGAGAGTGTTTGGAAGGTTCTTGAAGCACACTGTGGTCATCAGGGTTTCCTTCCATACAGATCCATCCTGACCCCACCCCCACCCCGTTATTTGACTTCTCTTTCATTCATTCAGTTCAGGGTTGGAGTCGGGGGTGGGGACAGCAGTTTGCTAACTGCCTGGACCTAAGTATTCCTCCTTCAGCATCACTGTAAAATGATAGCAGTGCCCTCAGAGTGGCACAGGAGGATGCATGAGAGACAGCTGTTCAGGATGCAGGCCCTGGCAGTGTTCTAGAACACTCTATTCAGCCTGAGCACATTTCCTTGTATGCAGTGTTGGACTGGTCCTGTCTCCCGGCCTCACTGTAACAGCACAGATTTGGAACGAACCCAGTTGTGAATTTGAAAATTCTCTCAGCTACTTCATAAATGGGCGAGTCTAAAAATTTCAGCAAAATTTCTACTGTCCTCAGTAGAGAAAACGGTTTAACAAACCCAACTCTGGCTGTGGGATGTGGACCACACTGCTTAAGCTCTCTGTGTCTGATCTTTCTTTCTTTAAGTTGTTGATAGAACTTTATTTTTATTATATGTGGTGCTGAGAATCAAACCCAGGGCCTCACATTTGCTAGGTGAGTGCTCTATCCCTTAGCCACAACCCAGCCCTTCTGTGTCTCTTTTCTTTCTCTCTCTCTTCTTTCTCTTTCTCTCTGCTAAAGCTCAAATTCTGAAACTTGTATATACCAAGTCCACATTCTACTAAACAACCCTGGTGACTTATTTTATTATTTTCTTTGTAAATTGGGGTAATGATCTCCCCTCAAAAAACTACTACATAAGTTGGTTAGATTATAATTAATGTCTGACAAGACTAGCTAGCAGTTCACATGCAATGTGAGGTGTAGGTATCATTTTTGTTCTCATTTTACAAAAGAAGGAGTTATTAAATAACAAACTCAAGGTCACAAAACTACAAACTACCCCCAAACCCAGCATTCAAATCCAGTTTTATTTTATTCTAGAAGTTTTAAAAGAGGACTTTTGCCAGTCACAAAAGGGTGCACCAGTGCTGTTACCCTCACTCTCTTTTCTTTAAAAATACGCAAACTTTGAAGAAGTCTCTCCCTTAGCAAATGTCCATGCATTCTGTCAAGAAAAAGCTCATTTTAGAGAAGTCAGAGAGACCAACAGGGCCAAGGTGTGGTGGACGCTCCTTGGCCACAGCCTAGGGTGCATGGAGGGGTTTGCCTGTGTGGTTCTTGTGTTGCGGGCATGGGTTCAGTGTTGCAGAGCAGCAGAACCCACAGATGCCTCTTTGTGACCATCTCCCCCCCCCCTTCTCCCGCATAGCATGCCGCGGACTTGGAAAAGAAACAGAACGAGACAGAAAACAGGAAGTTGCTGGGGACCGTGATTCAGTATGGCAACGTGATCCAGGTAGGTCAAGGCTGCTCTTCTCTTCTGGAGGTGACGCATGACAAAGAATGACACTGAGAAAGTAAACACGCGGAACAGAATTTGGACACTCTGCCTGTGCAGAAGGACTCCACGGAGTAAGGCAGTTTGTTACAAAAGCCTAGTGTTGGTTACCAGTGATGCACTCTTGGGCTTTGTGGCTGGCCATCTCTCCAGTCTGAGCATCTGCTTTGGCTACCCCCACCTGACAATTTAAGATCTGTCCAGATAGTTCAAGTGGGAACCTTCCTACCTGAGAAGGAGCCTGACACAGTTCTGCAGAACTTGCAGGAGCTTGGAAGTTCTTTCTCTTTGGCTTCCCTATAACTTCTATCTTTTATTCAAGAGCTGTTTGCCCAGAGATAATAATATAAGCAATTCTGTACCTTCCAAATTTTAAAAGTCAGAAGCAGTTATTTTGATGCACTTTTTATTAATGAAAAATATTAGATCATTCCTAAATCTTATGGGTTGGGAGGCTTACTTGGCTTTTCAATTCATCACCAGGATAAAACCCAAGCCAGGAAACAGCTTCTGCAGGTCTGGCTCAGAAAATCCATCTGAGTGGATCCTAGTCTTGCAGAAGAGAATGTGAGGAATCCCAATGCCTGGGGACCTTCTCCCTTTGTCCAGTTAGCATATCATTTTGACCCAGGCACACAGGATAGTGATTACCAACTATTGAATACCTGGCATGTTAGGTTTCCTTCATTATTTCTCTTTTGGAAAGATTTTGCTTACCCTGAACCTTACTTGTTACAAAGGAATTCCTTCCCATTCTTATTGCTAATAGTTTTAATCAGGAGCATGGGAAAAGTAGTTAAAAAGAAAACCCAAAACTTAAAAGGAAGCTGTCATAGTTAAATGGGTTATTTAGATGGCTTTCTGAATTAGTGAAAGTAGCTCCCAAAATATGTTTGGAGGTTAAGTCCTGTTGGTCCCACTCCTCTTTAAGTTCCATCTGATTGAGAATGGCCACAGGGGCCACGTGAGCTTGGAATTCAACATGAGCTCTCTTGCTGAGCAAAGCTAGTGTCCTGAAACTCACAGCACAGGGTCCCTGGTTTGGTTAGACTGGAGATCATGGCTTGAACTGAGAATGAAAGAGGCATTCAGAGACCAAGCACCTAAACTCCTAAATGCATTTCAGTGAAGGTTCTGGGACTTCCTGTGAGATTTTGGGCAAGAAATCTTGCTATATTTCACCTTGCTGTCCAGCAAAATGGAAATGGTAATGGTATCTGCTTTCTTGGGTACTTGAGAGGAGCCTGTCGGAGAGTGAGTCTGAGACTTAGCAACTAGTGGTTTTTATTACTGCCCCCAAACCTGCAGCTAGGATCCACCTCTTGGTAATACTGGTTTGTCCTCTTCATGGGGGATCAGAGGCCACTCACCTGAGTAGTGAGGATTTGGAAGGACATTGCCTCCCTGTGTTTATCTTGGCCAGAGGTTGCCTGGGGCTCAGACCCTCCCTTGACGACCCTGTTAGAATACCTGGGGACCCCCTGAGAGTGCCCTGGCAGTGGTTTCTGTTAGCAGGTGAACAGGGTATGGGAGTTGGCATTGGAATTCCAGGGGGGGGGGTCCTGCCATTTGTTTAGGAACTGGGCAGTCCTTCATGTCCCCCTCCAGTGTTTCTCTGGACTCATGACCTGGGAAACCATGGTCAGCTCTTCCTGGTCTTGACCAGCTTGCAGGAGAGCTGTCTTCCACTCCATCTCCAGTCTTTCCATCCCTTCATGTCACCATCCTCCAAGACTCAAGTGTTGGAGCCTTCAAGGTGGAAGTCCATGGTTACCATGTTCTTCCATGTGAAGTGACAGTCCCCTAATGGGGTTGCCCTTTAAAGGACACTGTTTCTTGTTCTCAGAATTGTCCTGCTTAGCTCCACGTTGGTGGCAGGGCATACTCGGACTGCAGTTCGTCAGCTCCTTTGCACAGGGTAAGGCTGCTCCCCTCCGACAGCTAGCTGGTGACAGAACAGTTGACCTGAGCAGAATCCATATTGTCCAAGGCCGTGCCGAGAAAGAAAACAAATTTTGTCTTCTATTTTGCCCTATGCTCCCTTTACTATTCCTTCTTTTCGCATCATTCCCAGCCTCCGGTACTTTGTGGGCCTCCTGCTTCACAAGCCGTTCAGTAGTTGGACGAACGTCTAATGCATATTCTATACATCTGAGAGAGAAATGTCAGGGAATTCAGAGGTGGACTGACACTCCTGGTTTTCTCTTGTTGGGTTTTTAGCTCCTGCATTTGAAGAGTAATAAATACCTCACTGTGAACAAGAGGCTTCCAGCTCTGCTGGAAAAGAACGCTATGAGGGTGACCTTGGACGAAGCCGGGAATGAGGGGTCCTGGTTTTACATTCAGCCCTTCTACAAGCTTCGGTCCATCGGAGACAGCGTAAGTGTTGCACACTCCAGGCCTGGACGCCAGGCCTCCCGCCATCCCTGGATACGGAACTCCACTCGGAGAACTTTAAAGTTGGAACCAGAGAAGTTGGAATCACTATGGAAACGAGTGTTTGAGAAACAAGGAAATGTGTAGAGAATGTGACCTAAATACGGTCGCTATGTTTTTCCTACTGGGCCTCTGAAACACTCCTATGGAGGGTCCATTACCTCATTCATTTTACCACGAAAACAACCACCCCGTGTTAACGTCCCGGGGAGGATCCCCGTCATTCCAGATCCATCAGCGGGATAGCAATGTCTGTTTTGGAAATAAACCTAGTAAGGAGGGAGCATGGAGAAGAAATGACGGCAGCGGGGAAGGAGAGTGGACTTGAGGTTTCCGTGTAGATTAGCAGCCAGGTGCTCCGCCGACATGGTTGGTCCTGAGCTGGCCCCAGTCCTGAGGTCTCTACAGAATAGGAAGCCACAGGGGCCTCTTTTCAGGGCTGCTTAGAATAGTCCCAATATTTGTTAGTTAAATTAGTGAGCCATTACGTGGGCACACACTTAACAATGAATATGTTTGAAAGCTATTAGCTGTATTCTTGACCTTGTTAAGGTTCTAAAATAGTTGCATTTTTGCTAAAAAGAAATTTGTGCCTTAAACAGCATGAAGTGTTCTCAAAATACTCAACTAGCCTTAATCTAAAACTAGGTTTCAACATTTTTTTTATACTGCCATTTCAGTTTATAAGCTGTAAGCAGTTTAAGAGTGTGTGTGTGTGTGTGTGTGTGTGTGTGTGTGTGTCTCATAAGATAGAGGAAAGCATCCCCTCACCATTGGTGTACAGTGAATATTGAACCCAGACTGGGAATAGGAGAAAAAAAAAATCTAGGTTTCACCACTAGTGATGGTTTTATTGAATATTTGTTTATTCTTCTGGAGTTAGAGAAAATTTAGGAATGCATGATCCCCAAAAGTATCGAACCAAAAATAGATGGGGTTTAAGTCTAAGGAAATCATCTCCTCCACTCCCTTTTCTTCCACCCCTCCAATGAAAAACAAATGTGCCTTGTTCTGAATTTCATTTTCAGCCAGTTCTTTGCTTTTCCTATTCTTTATTCCATTTAGCTGTGACTTAGCTGAGAAGATGACTTGAATAGTTATACTATTGGAAAAGTCCTTCTCATACGGCAGGTTATAACCTATCCCTAAGCTGCAGAATCAATTTACTGGGGTGTAGCAATAATTTTGGGAAGTAGGATACAATAAAAAATACCAGAGTGTGATACGCATGAAGGCAAATATTGTTTTAGGAATAACTTTTGCCACACACACACACACACGCTAGAGTGTGTGTTGCTGTATATGTGAATGAGTCATACTAGGAAATCTATTGCAGTCACCAAAGTATGAAGGTCATTGCTTTAGAAACACATAAGTATGGTTTTGTTGTTTGCAAAGTAAAAGACTTAGTAGCCTACTTTTCCTAAAATTTAGTCAAGCACTTATTTTTATACACGTATCTTAACTGAATGGAATGGAGATAGGAGATTTTTCTTGCTGCTCTGGACCAACTTGGAAGATAGCACTGTATAATTATTGACAGTCCTGTACCAGAATTTGGCCTTAGCCTCTGGGCATGACCCCACCCCACCCCCTGCCCAGAGCCAGGTTTTAAAGCTGCCCATCTGGCCACTCCCAGACCAGACCAGCCCAGCCCAGCCTTCAGTCTGTAGTCCAGATCCGTCCTTGAAAACCTGTTGCTCCTTCCTTTCCAGGTGGTCATAGGTGACAAGGTTGTTCTAAACCCCGTCAATGCTGGCCAGCCCCTGCATGCCAGCAGCCATCAGCTGGTGGACAACCCTGGCTGCAACGAGGTAAGGGAGACCGAGTCACGGCTCGTGGGAAGCGGCAGGCCTTCCTGGGGCTGGAGCTTGTGCATGCTGAAAGGGACTTCAAGCACTGTGACATCCTGCAGGTGAAGAACTCGAGGCCCAGAGTCAGAGCTGCCACACTAGGTGTGCACGTCTCTGCGCAGTGAGTGGGGGCGGGTAGTTCACCCCAGTGCCCAGCCTTCCCCGTGGAGGCACCGTGTGCTCATATGTTCAGTCTGCAAGGACTTTTGTTGCCAGTATGTTTGACCTGACCACAGGGACACCTCTTTCTAATTTGCTTCTCTAAAGAATAGGGTGCCTTTTTCTAATTCCCAAGAAGGGTCCATTATAACACATGAGTGGCCCTGCAAGGCTGTCTTGCTTTTGCAGTATAGATGTTTAGACTCTAAATTGACAGGTACAAGACACAGGACAGTAACTAGTTGGTGACATGAGTATCTGTTTAATGGATAAGGACCCAGGCTCTGGGGTGGGTCAGATAGGGATTCAAATCTCAAGTCTGTCATTCCCTGGCCCTGGTACTGCGTATTAGTTACCTCATCTCAAGGTTTCCCTGTCTCTGAAATGGGTGTGATGGGTGTACCTGCTCTTTAGGGTATTGCTGAGTGTTAAATGACACAGTGTTCGTACTCAGCTGAGTGCACAAGTAATGGCACTTCTGATAATGATGGTCATTAACATTTTCATCTGTATACACTGGATTCATTTCTTGGCTTTGAGGCTCATTCTATTTGATCAGTCTTTGTTTTTGTTTGGCCTTTACTTTTCTGGCTACAGAACAAGAGACTTGGAAGAAAAGGAAAAGATCATTGCAGAAGGGGTGGGGGGAAGTTTTTCCCTCATTTTACTGTACCTTGCACATGTGAGAGAAAACATCCAACTCTTGATTTTTAAGTCTGGCTTATTTCACTTACCATGGTGTTCCTTTGGTCCTATTGAGAGCATAGGTAAGGTCGGGTGCAGATGAGCCATTTATGATGAAATACTTCTCACCGGCCAGTTGACTCTGCCGATGCTGGGTTCTCGATATAGTTAAGACTGTAGGGGTTTGGGGCTGAGGCACACCCTTGATCCTGGAATGTCGGGGCTGTGTGACACATCGTGGTGAGGAGTGTGATAACTAATCTGTTTTCTAGGTCAATTCCGTCAACTGCAACACAAGCTGGAAAATAGTCCTTTTCATGAAATGGAGTGACAACAAAGATGACATTTTAAAGGGGGTGAGTTTCCCCTGAGCCCAGGAGAAACACCAGACCTCTCTTTGGGCAAGATGAAATTAACGACTACAGACTATGCTCCCCATGGAGCATTTTTAAAAGTGTACCCAAGGGTCATGATTTAGTGAAACCAAATGTTCTTACTTTAAAAAAAAAAAAAATAGAAAAAAGGGGTTAGTTTGCTACTTTATGTGCTTGGCAGCTTTTTGATACTTGGTTTTTCTTGGGGTAGCCAGGGTCATTTTCTTTTTAAACTCATTTTTCCTGAATTCTTTTTTTCTCTTTTATTGGTACACGATAGTTATGCATAATATTCGGGTTCATTTTTACAATGCAGCACATGCAGGGAGTTTCATGGACTTCATTTCCGTTTCCAGTAGCCATCCCCTTTCCCTCCTTACCTCCGTCCCCTTATGGTCCTTCCTTGACCTTGCAGGTCTCCTTTCCCCTGTTCCTCTGTGTGTGTTTGATTGGGGCTGTGTAGGTGTACATAAGGGTCGAACTCACTGTGCTACGTGTGTGAATCCACAAAGCAGAATTGATTCCTTATTCCTGCCTTTCCCATCCCTCCTTACTCTGATTTCCTCCTACTACTCCACTGGTATCCTCCCTGTATCTTTACGATATCCAACCTCACCCCAAGTTTTTCCCTCACTTCACTGTAGCTTGCACATGTGAGAGAAAACACCCAACCCTTGATTTTTAAGTCTGACTTATTTCACTTACCATGGTGATGTCCAGTGACATCCTCCACCAGCCAGTGCCATGATTACATCCTTCTTCTGGCCGAGTCCAACTCCACTGTGTAAATACGCTGCATTTTCTGGATCCATTCATCTGTGGACGGGCTCCTGGGCTGTTCCTTCACTTGGCAACTATGGCTTGTGCTGCTGTGAACACTGACGCAGGTGCAGGCCTATAGTATGCAGATTTTCATTCCTCCTTGTGTTGATTCTTAGGGCGACGTGGTGAGGCTGTTCCACGCTGAGCAAGAGAAGTTTCTCACCTGTGACGAGCACAGGAAGAAGCAGCACGTCTTTCTGAGGACCACAGGCCGGCAGTCGGCCACATCTGCCACCAGTTCAAAAGCCCTGTGGGAAGTGGAGGTAAGGAGTGGGATGGGAGGACAGGAGAAAGGATACGGGGGCCCATAGGACTTGACCTCATATGGTTGTAAATCACACCCAGGTCCTCAAACCACCTACCTCATTCTAAAAACGGGTTGGGGTGTTCTAGCAAAAGAAGCGCACCCTGACCTAGCAGTGAGGTGCTGTGTGTCCTTGTGTGGAAACAGTGTATCCACTTGGGAAGGATTCAGACAGACTGGAAATACTCTTTGTCTGGGCCATAGAATCATCTCTTCTATTTCTTTTCGTTTCCCTTGCTCGTTTATCTGCCACCACAAGCCTTAGCCAAATGACATGATAGGTGATTCTCCATTGGCAAAGGAGCACACAAGCACTCAGATACCTGGAGCACACAGCAGGATGGTCAGGGTGATGGTCAGCAGATGGTCAGGGTAGTAGGAGGCTTGTTCCCTGTGCCCTGGAGGTTTCCATAACAGAGGAGGAACCTCGTGCTTGCCAGACAAGAACTCTACCACTGAGCCACAACCCCAGCCCCACAGATGGTATTTTCAGAGTTTATCCATATTGCCTCATGTATCCATGCTTCATTTCTTTTCCTTGCCAAATAGCATTCTCTTGTGTGGGTATACCACTTTTTATCCTTTTATCATGTGACTGTGTTTGGATCATTGCTGTTGTGAAGAGGGAGCTGTGAAGGATCCCATATAAGACTTTGGGTGTGCATGTTTCCAGGCCTTTGGGAGAGGAATCATGGGTGACGTGTAAATGCGTGTTGGAGGGGCCCCCAAAGGTCTACGCCATGTTATTCTCCCAGCAGGAGTGTATCTCAGTTGCAATTTCTCCATGTGGCCTTGAATTCAGAAGGATATTTTTGTTGGGAATAGAATTCTGGTTGGATAGTTTTTTTCTTTCTCTACTTCCAAGATTTTGATCCATTGGCTTTCAGCTTCTGTTGTTTTTGATGTGAATTCAGTGATTTTTAAAATCTTTATTCCTAACATGTAGTCTCTTTCTCTTCCCTTTCTCATCAGTTACTTTATAGATTCTTTTTTTTTTTTTAATTTCTGTTTTGCATGAATAGGTTCATGATGTGACTTGGGATGTATGTACATGCATGATTCTCTTGCTAGAGTCCCTTAATTTTCCTAAATCTGTGGGTATGTCACAAAATGGGCAAACTTGTGGTCATGATTTCTCAAATACTTTTCCTGCCCTCACCAATCCACTCAGACATAAACCCAGACATAAATTATATCACTTGATATTATCTGATTGAGTTTATGGGTCATGTTTTCCTGATTGTTTGTCCAGTACTTTGTGATTCTTTGTTGAACATGGTACCACTGTTTTATTGGGTGTCTGGAATCTGTTGTTCTTTTAAAGAGTCTAGAGAGTTTGTTTGACAGTCAAGTCACCATGGTGGATCAGTATGGTGTTTTGGAGGATCATTTTCATGCTATATTAGGTCAGAAGAGTGCAGCCTTTATCCTGGGACTGGATTAGCCCTATGACTAAAGGGGACCCTTTTGCTGTCTCTGTTAGTGCTCGAGGTGGTCCATAGAATCTCTCTGCCTTGGCTTTCCGAGTGAGGAGACCTCCAAATGCATGAGCTCTGGGACTTTGGGGTTTTGCATTTTCTTATCATTCTGACTTTTTGTGGTGTTGGGCATTAAACCCAGGGGCTGGCACATGCCAGGCAGGTGCTCTACCACTGAGCTACACCCTCAGTCCCCCTTCTTGTTTTTGATTTGGCCTCGTGGGGTCTTGTCTTGCAAATACACTGTTGAATACTCAGCCCACAACTCAAAGGAGACCTCTCTGCACATTTCTGGAGCTCATTCTGGATGTAACTCCATATTCTTCAGAGCTCTATCCCACAAATTCCAGCTGCCTCGGTTTCCCTAAAGTCCACTTCATCTCCTCAACTCCATGAACCCGGGGCTCTCAGCTTGAATTCCCTAGTGAGAAAACCAGAGACATCCTGGAGCTTGCATTGTTTGTGCCTCTATTCTCAGAGATCACATGTGTGTCACCTGTTGTCCGACAGAGTTGTTTCATACATTTTACCCAGATATTTGGGCATGGGATGTAGCTCAGTGGTAACACACTTGCCTAGCATGCATGATACTCTGGGTTCGATCCCCAGTATAGGGGGGGTGGGGAGGGGGAATCTGAGATGATTTGCCCAGTTTTCTACTTCTGAATGGAGATTTTCACTACTTTGTGTGGTATCTAATTGTCACAGTGCCACCTGTCGATGCTGATTGTTGTATTGTGGCTAGAAACTGAAGTTACACGTATTTACTCAATCAATTGGCCCAGACAGAGATTTGTGTTTCTGAGCACAGGCCTGACCGTGTGTTCTGGCACAGGAGGATATGCAGATTGCTTTGAAATTTCCCCATGAAAATCCTTTTTATCAGCTGTGTGTTTTGTGGATGAGTTTCAGAATCTTTTATTTCATGAGCATTGAGGTAAAGAATCTGAAATCCATTGAAGCTTTTACCCCAAACACTGCATGTTAACTGGGAGACTTTACACCTTCTCTGGAAAAGTATCATTTTAATACTTTCAGGTGTTTGAATTTGAATGTTACATGTGACACTTGCAGTAGGTTTGTTGGAAGATACTGATATTTTTTTTTTCCAACTCGAAAATGCCCCTTTCTGAACTCAACTTGTGATGTCACAGATCACACCAACTTGGTGTGAGCTGGCATTTCTCCGACTCACTGATATTTTCTAACTCTCTCAGGTAGTCCAACATGACCCGTGCCGAGGCGGAGCCGGGTACTGGAACAGCCTCTTCCGCTTCAAGCACCTGGCCACAGGGCACTACCTAGCAGCGGAGGTAAGTGGCAGCCCTGGGTTGTTCGCTTTGAAGCTGAGGCATCCGGTTTACGTTCCCGACTCACCTAGTAGATGGAGGCTCCGGGTTCTGTTCGGTCAACTTGCTTTTCTGCATCCTTCTGCCTCATTTCCCTAGAAGAAAAGATACAAAACTGACTCACATGTTTAAGAACTTGGCAGGGGTTTTGATCAAGATGTGGGGAGAAAGCAAGTTAGAGAATAAGGCTCTTCTGTGTTTGGACGATGATCTTTGTATTTGCCCTGGGATATTTCCCTGTCCTCACATCTCATCTGTCAGCCCCACTCCTGTCCTGAGACTAAGCCATAGTGGAAACGTGGTATATAAAGTCAGAAGCATTAAAATGCATCAAGAAATGGACAGTTTTAGGAAAAAAGTCTGATTATTCAGAGCCTTAGTGAAATAGAATGTCAGAAATCAGAGAAATTAACTTGACCTTATGTGTCTATAAAGGGCCTCTGATACAAGGATAGGAGGAATTTGCCTTTTAATTTTTATATTAAATGAAGGAGCTGTCCTACTGCATGGCAGATGTTGAATCTGTCTTTGGTCCTGCTGGATCATGTATGATGCAGATTCATGTCAGATTCTACTTGTGCCTCAAATGACCCCTCCTGTTACCTGGTCCACCCAGCAGGACTGCCCAGAGATTTCCCAGGGGGCATAAGGGTGTTAGTATTGCTTGTGTGGCTGACCACCCCCCACCCCACCGCTCACCCCTCACCCCCGGAATGGGGACTCTAACCTGTGACTCCCTGGGGCACCAGAGACTGGAATGGACCATTGATTTCAAAATATTTAACCAAAGACCAAGAAGGCTAAGTTGAAATTCATAATGGAGCCTCAGGGAGTTACAGACACAGCTAATCCATCGTGAGAAACTTTGATTACCTGGTTTGCTGAAGATCAATGGTGTTTGCTTTGTATGTCTTGAGGTGAATGTAGCTCTTCTTAGAGGCCTTCTTTTTCTTTTTAACTAACAATCAGCGGGACTGTCAGTGACCGTGTATTGATCTTTTACTCACTGCAGGCTTCTCCCTGTTGCTTTGCCAGTGACCTGGTGGTGTGTTCCTTGTGTGTACTCAAGAGCGTCCTCTGGTGGCTGGTGGATTGTTCGTGTGTGTCGCACCTGTGTGGCATGTGGTGGTGTTGTGGCATGCTGGTTTCGTGGATAGAGGGGGGACAGCTGCCCAGCTGTCCCAGGATGGCTGCAGGTGTGGACATTTCCTGCAGATGGGTCCCAGTCCTTGTGAAAGCCGGAACGGATGTTTTAATATCCTCATGATTCTTTTTCATCAGGTAGACCCTGACTTTGAGGAAGAGTGCCTGGAGTTTCAGCCCTCAGTAAGTATGGGAAAGAGCCTTCTTGTGTCCGTGCGGTAGGGTGAGGCCAAATGATCTGGAACTCCGTTTCAGAAGCTACCAGGGTGGCCATGCAGCACTGGGAAAGGGGAAAGAGGGTCTCATTCTATGCTTCTGTTAAAGGAAACCATGTCCTCTTATGTCCTGATTCGTCCAAGGGATTGCTGGGCTGTGTGCTCAGTCCAGTGTCCCACTTAGACTGGAGAAACACGTGGCATCTTTTGGAGTCCTCCTAGCCTGGAGATAGTGCTGTGGCAAGCAGTTGTCTTACTGCCGTAAACCTCAATCTGTGACTCTATTTTTCAAGAAATGAGGCTAAATGGATAGTAGAAGTAGCCCATGAGGCCTGACGGGCATTGTGTCTGAGGGATAATTGTCTGACCCCCTGTCCTGCTTTGTGCATGGTCAGGAAAAAGCTTCAAGGTATAAAGTGATTTACAGTGTGATTTGGAATAGCAACAGGAGATGGAGTTTTCTCTGAAGACCATCATCTGCCAGGTCATGCTGATACGTAGGCGCGTGGGGTCCAGGAGTCCATGGTCATGGCTGAAGAAGGCAGTGGCTGTGTTTTATGGTATAAAATAGTTCTCTTGTGGAGTGCTTGGTTCTGGTCTAGGATTGAAAAACAACAAAACAAAACCAACAGTGGCTGCTCATGTGACGTTCTGTGCATATGGTAGGCGATCTTGGGGGTGTTTCTTTTTCTAGAAAAATTTTGGTGAACATCGGAAGGACTTTAAAATAGCACATGAATGAAGGGAGTAGAGGTGGAGTGGGAATTGTGAATTCTGCACTAATGGCTTACCTTCTAGTTGTATTCAGGTGGGAGATTGGCTCTGAAGGAAGTTCAGGAGCTGTCTCTCAGGGCCTCTGCTTGTGAATACACGGTCTTGCTGGGTCTTCTGTTCCTTTTCCTGTTGCAAGGTGGAGCCCCAGGGGTTCCCCTTGCTGCTTTTTGTGCTTGTCACCCTCACATTGGAGGCATTTGGAAAGCTCACCTTGCACAGTTGCTGTGACTTGGAAAGCCCTGGCCTCATCCAGCTTTCTGGCGCCATGTGAGGAAACCCATCCTAAAAGCCCTCAGCAGGTTTTGGGACACGTGGGCACTATGGGGCAGCTTGGACTGACAGGGCTTTCTTTTTCGTATGTCACTTCCACTTCTATCTAGCACCTTCTTAATGTCAAAAGCAGGGACTGTCTCTCTCAATTTGTATGTGGTGCCATCAGGTAATACGGAGCGTCACCTCTGAGATTAGGCAAGCCTTGGCTTCCTGCAGTGGGCGCTGCTATCCTAGTGACCCCTGGGTGCTGGGGGGAGAAGGGCTGCCCTCCTGGGCTCTTGGTGTTCAAGGGGGGACAGGCATTTCTGGTGCAGGAAGAAGTGCCTAGCAATGACAAGCAGGGGGCAGGGGAGTAAGACAGACCTGAGTTTAAATACCAGTCCTACCACTTAGAAGCTGTGCCCCCTTAAACCAGGTACTTTCCCTCTCTGAGCCTCAATTCTTTGCTCTCTACAAGGACATTTTAAAAAGCTGTCTGAGATTATTAGCATTTTTAGTATCTTCACATCCACCAGGTTATGGGCAGAGGCATGAAGGGGGTTAGGACAGGTCTTAAGATGTTCATCTGACAGAGGAGGAAGCTGCTGTTTTGAGTTATCCCGACTCTTCATGCATTTCAGGGTTCAGCAGTCTTTCTATGTCTCATGCTTCTCTGTGCCAGGGAGGTGGGACAAGCTGCAGGGTGGGGTGCAGGTCGGAACTGCATTGCTAGCTAGTCTGAGACGGCTCAGGCTGCGGTCCCATGGGCAGGAGTGTAAGAGGGCCTTACCTGCTCCCCTCAGACCAGTGCCACACCTTCTTCTGCATCTGTGGGCAGGGCTTTAGTTTGGGGAGGATCCTGCACCCTGAACCCTCTTCTTGGCTTGGAAACTTAGAGGGAAAAGCTAGGGTTGTACAGTCGGACGAGGAAGCATCTCACTCTCCTCTGCTCCTTCTTGTCCCCGAGGCTGGCCTCCCCTGCCTCTGGTTTTTTGCTTCAAACAACACTCAGCTTTCTTAGGCTCATTCTGAATTCAGTGGCACCCCCAGGCTACTTACTTGCTCCCAGGGCGAGGAAAAGGGCACCGAGGCTTATTCTGCTCTCTTTTTGCACAAGCACTCTCTCCCCACTAGGTGGCAGGCGTTGACTGCACCTGCAGCGTGAGCTCGGGGAATTTCCACACACGCCAATGGAATTCCACACACATTTTCCTGGAGAGCTGCTGCAGGTCTCTGAGATGCCACCAGCCGCTTGTCTCAAACCATAAAATCGGATCTGACTTGATTTTGAAGGTGGTGTGTGGAGTGATTGACAGGTGATGGCAGTGAAGAGAGAACAGAGGCCCCAGGTCCTTTATCCTGAGCTAAGGGTGCAGAGGTGGCCCAGCCGCATTCCAGCTGTTAATTGAGCGTAGAAAGAATAAAGAAGCTTGGGTTCCTTTAGGAAGAGGTGTAGTTTACTAGAGGGCAAAGCAGGAGGGAGGAAAGGAACAGAGGTTGGGGGTATTAAAAGAGCTTTTATTTGTTTGTTTTTGAGAAGGGGTCTGGCTATGTTGCCCAGCCTGGCCTCCAGCTTCTGGGCACATGGGATCTTCCTGTCTTGGCTTGCTAAGCAACTGGAGCCTCAGGTGCATGCCACCAGGCCTGTCTACCCTGCTGTAAGAACTTTTTGGTTCTAACGGACAGAAATCGGGGCTGCCAATGAAAGGAATAAGCAGGCCGCTGCCTACAATCCTGGGTCTCAGGCCCGTGGAGTTCGACTCTCTCACGCCTCTCCCCCCTTTGCCTTTAATTGGACTGGGTTTTCTCCATTCTCTTGTCTTCTTGGGTCCCCTTCCTCTGAGTGGGAAGGAGATATCGCTTCAGTCCGAGAGAAGCAAACTGCTGCTGGGGGGAATGTGGTTTTCCCAGTAGATGTGGGTGGATGTTGTCATCTTGCAGGGATGTCGGGCATTAAAATGGTCCCATGCACAGTCACCATGCTGAGGGGGAGCTTGCAAAGCTCACATAGAGCAAGTACCCACACTGAGCTCGCTCTTCCACGTCCTTGGGCCCATGGGCTCCGTTTTCCCAGGGAAGCTTTCGTCATTGCTCCTCAGCCTGCTTATTAGGGATTTTCTTCTACCTTAGCCACAGTTTAGTGTACTGAGAAAGCCCTTTCTCCCTGCACTGCCATCAGCAGTCCCAGCAGTCCCCCAGTTAATTGCACATAATATTTTTCGGGGCTAGTGACTTCATGTGTATATAATTTTTTGCTGTGATTAAACCACACTGGGATTGCTGCTTATGAACACTTGGATTCAGGTTTCATTGTATTTTCTCTCCTGGGAAAGCAGCTCTTCTGTGTAGTTGGGAGACACCTGTCATTGTAGATCAGCAACTGAGAATAACTAAATCCACCAGATAATTTCCTCAAAGTGCATTCCCTGTCCCCAGCTGCTGCAGGTGGGCAGCTCTCTCAAGGTCTTTACCTCCCTCTTTCCATGGAGATTATTGTCACCCCCTTCACGTGAACATCTTTATTGCAATGCGACGAGGTAGAGAGCCAGTGTTCTCCGCTCAGGTGGCCGATGATCACCTTTCAGGACTGCTCTGAACCTGGTCCTCCTGCCGGCTGCCACCGTTCCATTCACTGTGTCCCTCCTGCTCCTGTGGACCTAGGAATGGTTATGGTGAGGGCTTTGGCATACACAGGTCTTCATTGGATGACTTTGACCACAGGTGGACCCCGATCAGGACGCCTCTCGAAGCAGGTTGCGAAACGCCCAGGAAAAGATGGTCTATTCCCTGGTCTCTGTGCCCGAAGGCAATGACATCTCCTCCATTTTTGAGCTCGACCCCACCACGCTCCGTGGAGGTGACAGCCTTGTCCCAAGGTATGATTTAAGTGTTGGTTAATCGAACAAGAGGATGGGGGGGGGGGGGCGTCAAGGCAACCTGGTCATGCTTCTTGGAATCCAAATCCTAATGGCCTTTTCTTTAAGCCTTTATAAAGGATTCGAACTGGCCGCCCAACAGGGCACCTGATTTTCAAATGGTCAGCAGTGGTAAGTTCTCTACAGTTGGATAAGTTTACCATCTGTAGGTAACAAGCCAGACCTTAACCCTTAGTGGCACATTATTGCCCGAGTTCCTCTCTCCCTCCTTCCCCAAACCTGGACCACCTCTTGATCAACTGAATAAAAACTTGAAATTTTAGAAGACTAACTACTGAAATTCACTCTGTGTGTCGTTAAGTTTTACCCAAAGTAATGAGAAGTTAGATCAGCATTCTTTAACTCTTCGATTTAACTCTTGTCTTTGTTGCCTAAGAATGCATTTTTAATTATGTTTCTTACTGGGGCATTTTAACTAGGTATAATAGCAGGTCTCATTGTGACTCATTCATACTTGTATGTAACATAATTTGTTCCATTTCATGCCCGAATACTCCCCTTTTCTTCCCCCCACCCTGCCCCCTTCCTCTATTCTCCTGGTCTCCCTCCTAGTTATTTATTTTTAATTGGTGCATTATAATTACACATAAAATGGGATTCATTATGATACAATCATGCATGCACATGGCACAGTTTGGTGAGAATGCATTTTTAAATAACTGGACTCTAGATGGGACAAAAGCCTATTCTTAAGGTGAACAGCAATATTATTACTCATAGCTAACATTTATTGAACACTAACTATATGGCTGGCACAATGCTGAGTATGTACTTATATAATTTTGTCACTGCAAGAAATTCTGCCAGATGTAGTATCCACACTTTATCTATATGGGCTCAGAGTCAAAGCAACTTGTTGCACATCAGAGTGTCTCAGGAGAACCCAGATCTCACATGTCTATGTCAGGGTCGTGGGGGCAGCGCCTCTAAGTCTTCAGCACAAGATTGGTGGGTGGGAATGTCCCTGGTGCTGGTGGGCTCAATGTCGGGCTCTCTCAGTAGTTCTTGGTGTTTCCTTCCTCATGGAGGCATTGTAGCTTTCCTGCTCAATGAAGCTAGCTCATTGTGGGTTTGATTTGCATTTCTCTGATGGTTGATGATCTTTCCATGTGTTTGACTACTGGTCTGTCTTCTTTGAAGTAATATCTGTTTGTATTTTTTGCTTTTTTTGTGGGGGGAGCAGGTACTAGGGATTCAACTCAGGGGCACTTAACCACTGAGCCCCATCTCCGGCCCTGTTTTGTATTTTATTAAGAGACAGGGTCTCACCAAGTGGCTTAGCACCTCACTGTTGCTGAGGCTGGCTTTGAACCTGCAATCCTCCTGCCTCAGCCTCTCGAGGTGCTGGGATTACAGGTATGCACCACCGTGCCTGGCCCTTTGCTGTTCTTTGATATTTAACAACTTCAAGTTTTATGTCTTTATCATTGAGTGATAAGCATTCTTTATTCAGCTGTAAATACCTCATCAGATAAATGACTTGCAGATATTTTCTCCCATTTTGTCTTTTTATTTCCCTGATGCACGAGAGTTATAAATTTTGTAGAAGTCCAATGTATCTGTTTTACTGAGCTCATGGTTTTGTTTTTGATCTAAGCTCTCAAAAATCGATGGTAGCGTTTTCTTGTAACGGTTTTGAGTTTTCATTCTTTGCACGTAGGTCTTTGATTCTTCATTTTTAGGTCCTTTAAAGTGTCTTGGATGTAGGGTTTATTGCTTTTCAAAAGCTTCCTTTCTCATTGATGGCCTCCTTGTCACACCTGGATGGGTATCGGTCTGGAGAACCCACCTGCATTTCAGTTTAAGTGACTTTCTACATGTATCTTCAGTTCTGAAAGTTCTTTAAGGAGTTTTTCTTAGCATCTCAGAAGACAGGACAAAGATGTTCTTATTTTATGCTAAATGTGGAAGTTTGTGAGGGCAGAGAAGAACAGAAGGGTTTGTGTTCCATGGGAACCTTCTTCAGGGGTTCCTTTGGCGCAGGCAATGGGGAACTGGTTGGCCTGTCCCGCTGGGGGCGGGGAATCTCCTTGATGGGGAGAGCGCGAGTGTCTGGATCAGCTGACGGAGCAGCCTTGGCTGGTTGGAGTCCCCAGCCTCTGCGTTCCCTCCATTCTTTTTTGCCTGTTGGCCGACTTTCTTTGTAGGCAGATGTCCTTAGACTGATTCTTGACTCAGAAGCCAAGGAAGGCTTGTGTTCAGCCCCACAGGGGAAGCGTCTGGCACGGTCTGTTCACCTGTGGTCTTGGACTGGGTCTTGGCTTTTACATTTTTTTCTTCATTCTTGCCCTTGGCCTCCTACTTCAGAGCCAGAGGAGAACAAGGCCTCTTATTCATTGATTCCAAGAAAGACCTTTAGGAGGAGCACATTTATTTCTCTCCATCTTAAAGTCATGCTAAATTTTGCTTGAGGATCAGAAAGTATCAGGTTAAATGCATGAACATATGAGAGCTGTTAGTGGGAAGAGCATTTTGGTGGTAGTCACCGATTGAAAGAATCCTTCTGAGCCAAAGTGAGAGGGTTAATGGCCAACCCTGGATATACTAAGCAAGATGATAAAATTGCAGCATGCATAAATCAGATGCATTCATGAGAGCATCTGCTTGGGCTTTTTTGTCCTGGCTCTTTCATATTTTTTAAAATATTCATTTGTTAGTTGTACTTGGACACAATACCTTTATCTTAATTTGTGGTCCTGAGGATCGAACCCAGGGCCTCACATTGGCTAGGCAAGTGCTCTATTGCTGAGCCACAACCCCAGCCCTCTTTCCTGGTTTTTGAGTTAAGGATTGGGAATGAGATTTTAGATTTTAGAAGAATCGATAGCATGCCCTTTGGGTCTTCAATGAAATGTGATCTAGAACTGTGTAGAATGTTACCAGCTAAAAGCTAAGCGCTGTTCTCTGGTTTTGCCTTAAAAATAAAGAAAATGAATCCAAGTCACTCAGAACAACAACAAAACATAAATAAATGCAGATCTCTTTGTTAAACATCTTGTTCCTGTCGTTGAATTTATATTCATGCTCATCAGAGTAAATGCCACCCCGGTTGCTCCTTCTGGCCTGGCTTGCAGGGTTCAGGGCAAGTCTGACGGCAGGCAGAGGGTGTGCACAGGTGTATGTCTGGTTTATCTGCTCCCCTGTCCCCTGTCATTGTTCTAAACTCCTCTGGGTATAAATGTTTTCCATTCTCCCTCTCTGCCCCATCCCACCTCCAGCTGGTACAGAGAACTTGTGTGGTTCTCTGGGTCCTCTCCGTGCCTCTGACTGTCCAGTCCTCTAACTTCTAATCACTTGGTGTACGTTCACTTTGTCTCCCTAAGGGGACGATGATAGGCTCTTGAAGTCAAGAATTATGTCGTATATTTTCTGCTACATCTTCAGAGGAAAAGCATGGTAAACACAAGTTATACTCGCTGTAGGAACAACAACAACAGTTTTGTAAACCCTGTGGAGAACACAGAAGCAAGTAAAAATTACATACAACTCAACCATTCAGAATTTATGACTTAAAATTTTGGTTTAGGTAGTTTTAGGCAGGTTCCTGGGCACACAGAGATGATTGTGATTTATCATAAAATAAGCTAATTTTAACTTTGAGGGATACTAGGAGTTGAACCCAGGGGTGCTCTACCACTGAGCAACACCCCCAGCCCTTTCTATTTTTTATATTGAGATACATGATCTTGCTGAGTTGCTAAGACTGGACTCTGACTTGCAATCCTCCTGCCTCAGCCTCCAAGTCATTGGGATTACAGGCATGGACCACTGCACCAACACTTAACTTTGTTTAAACTTATAAATAACATGTTTTGCACATGTTTCCAAGTAAATTATCATCATTTTAATTGTGTAATATTCTTTTGCTGTACTATAATTAAATCCTCCTTTACTGAGGCATGAGATTGTTTATAGATTTTTGCTATGATATATAATGCTTTGTTGAACATCTTTGTGCCACATTTTGCATCTTAGCTATTATTTCTTAAGGGAGACATGTAAAATTGCCATTGTTAGATGAAAGGACAGGTACATGTTACACAAAGGGTCAGATTCTTCCCCAGTTTTACCTGGTTATACTCTTACCAACTCACCAACAGTGCACAGGAATGGGGTGTGGCTCAGTGGTAGAGCTCAGGCTTAGAGGTATGAGGTTCCACCCCCAGCACCAAACAAAAAACATATACAAGAGAACTTATTCCCCTAAGCAATTTTTGATACTAACTTTTATCTGTCTTTAAGATCTTTGAAATGTGATGGAATAAAATGGTACGTGTGTCTTAATTTGAGAAAATTATATACTGCGAAGGTTTAATATAGAACTGTCATGTTTATCAGCCATTTCTATTTTACTTTTGAATTACAAGTTTGTGTCCTTTTCCCATTTACTTCAGGTTTTTCTTATTGATTTGTAGGAATTCTTTATATGTGTGGATTAGTTAATTGCCTTTCTATGTTATGTGTTATTTTTCTTTATTCAAAATACACATGCGCGCATGCGCGCACACACAGCCATCTACAGAAGATATAAAATTTATCCTTCTTTTAAAAAGGCTTTATACTTTATTACACACTTCAGAAAGCTTTCCTTCATCAAGATTAGCAAATAGTATTCATAATTCCAGGAATTTTGTGATTTCATTTCTTTATTGGTGTATATGGAAATCTCAGTTATTGCCTTATTACCTGTTGTGACAAGCACTAATAGATACTAAGTAAGAACTTCTTGTTGCTCTGTCTCATGTTCCATTTGTACTGAGATGTTTATTCACAGGGTACAATCTTACATTTAGAAATATAGACTGTTACGGTAACCCTAGAGTCCTTATGAATTATTTTCTCTTGTAAGTACATCAGACCATGTGTGACTTGGACCAGAGCCAGGGGCTCCTGAGTCCCAACTGTGTGGTATGCAGGGAGAAAACCTGGGTATCCCTTTTTCTCTTCAGAGAATGTATGCTAGACCCAGGACTGTGGAGTTGTCCCTAAACCCTTCTCTTTTATTACCCTTTAGGAACTCCTATGTCCGGCTCAGACACCTGTGCACAAATACCTGGGTCCACAGCACAAACATTCCCATTGACAAGGAGGAGGAAAAGCCCGTGATGCTGAAGGTCAGACCTGTGCTCAGCTGCCTCCCCTCAGCCCCATGCTCCCTCCTGAAAGGGCTCCTTTGAGCACAGATGGAAGGAAATATACAGAGCTGTGAAGTGGGCTCTTTTTTTTTTTTTTTTTTTTAAGCTTTGACAAAAGCATGATTATAGCCAAACTTGAATACGATGAAAAAATTTTCTCTAAAGCACCTGGATGAAGCAAAGTCAGGGCTTTTGAAATAATCAGAATCTTTTATTTATTTATTTATTTGTTGATGGCTTTGTATTTTCTGTCTTTTTTTTCTGTGATAATAAACATTTTTTTTTTAAAATACAAGAATCTCATAGGCTTCCTTTGACAAGTGAAACTGTAAACTGATAATAGTGCCCCTTTCCTACCTGAGTGGTCCCTACGGTACGAGCTTTTAGACAGCTATTAGACATTTGAAGTGCATCCTTCAAGATGTGCTCCTGAATCTCATTTTAATTGCAAGATAGCTCCAAGTTGCTTGGATTGCCCGATACCTGCTCGATGGGTTGTCCACTTAATGCCTTACCTTCTCCACCCAAGATTGTCCTACAAAGACCATCTTGACTTTCAGATTGGCACCTCTCCCGTGAAGGAGGACAAGGAGGCGTTTGCCATAGTCCCAGTTTCTCCTGCTGAAGTTCGGGACCTGGACTTTGCCAACGACGCCAGCAAAGTGCTGGGCTCCATTGCTGGGAAGCTGGAGAAGGGCACCATCACCCAGAATGAGCGGAGGTGAGGGCCCCTGCGTATCCTCACTCGCTGTGGATCCCAGAAATCCCCTGGGGAGTGAGAGGATGGTGGCTTCAAACAGCCATGTCTGCGGTGGCGACTCTGAGTGTCCCTGGGTGGCTTCCATTTGTGATTCCCAGGAATCGGTCATTTTGCATTTGGTTTCTTGAGAGCTTCCACAGATGTGAAGAGCGCCCTCCTCCCACTCTTTCTTCCCTCCACCTCCTTCCATCCTGGGATTACTTTACTAAATGTCAGGGGTTGCACTTACTCTCATGGCTGAAGTTTTGTGAAGATGGTCATCCTCTTACGGAAAACACTGCCTGGTTTCGGTGTCATTCATTCGAGTAAGTGGACCTGGCTGTGAATTTTTTAAAATATTTTTTTAGTTGTGGTGGACACAATACCTTTATTTTATTTATGTTTCTATGTGGTGCTGAGGACCGAATCTAGTGCTTCACAAGTGTCAGGCAAATGCTCTACCAGTGAGCCACGACCCCAGCCCTTGGTTGTGGATTTTAAGAAAACTGCTGCTGCTGGAGTGGATGTCACCTGTCCAGGTGGTTGAGGAGGCCCAGGAAAGCTTCCAGCCTGTTAGAGGGTAAACACTGTCTCTCCTGTCCTCTTTCCTCCTAAGGTCTGTAACCAAGCTGCTGGAGGACTTGGTCTACTTTGTCACTGGTGGAACCAACTCTGGCCAAGATGTGCTTGAAGTGGTCTTCTCCAAGCCCAACAGAGAACGGCAGAAGCTGATGAGAGAACAGAATATTCTGAAGCAGGTGGGTGAGCTGTGGTGTAGCGGGGATTAGCTGTCTGCTTTCCATAGAGTGAGCGGTGATTGCAGGAAATACGGAGATGGTATCAACTTAAACGTACGTGTAAAGACAAATTTGAGGCAGGAAAGTCGTGAATCCAGGATAGAATAAATATGTGGGAATACATACCAGTTCTCTAAAGTGGTTGGAGATTTGCTTACAGTCTTGTCTCGGGTGTTGCTGGCGTACAGAGCCAAAAGAGAAATGCACTAGTTACAAGCCCCAAAGTTCTTCTTGGGAATCAGGCATTTGGAAGTGCTTTTCCTTTAGGTCTGTGATAGACAAAATTCATGTTTAAACAAGGATTTTCAATCCAAGAATAAATTATATCCAGCTGTTCCAAGTGTTGAGTAGACAAATTAGACATCTGGCTTACTGCCAACACTCAGTTCCACCACAGCAGTTTCTTGAGAGGCCAAGGCAGTGGGATTCAGTGGCAGGACATTTCAGCAATCTCTACGTAGGCCACTGGGCTTACAGATGGACAGTTATCTGCTCTCTTCCCTCTAGCACCCTTGGGATGCAGGGATTAATCTTTGCCTTTTACCGATAAGAAGACAGAATCTTATTTGACCATGATCTGTACTGCTAAGAAGTATCCACCTAGATCAAATTAAGAATAAAGAAAGATGATGTTTACCTTGGTCATGTTGAGTACAATTATGGAGGCACCCAAATGAAGTATCTTTGAAAAAGTGCTCTGAGGTTTTACAAGATGGTATCTGTTTATAGCCTGAACTGTGAGGGGGTTTATTAATTACATCTCATCTGGAATTCTGATTGGTGCAGCAAAGGTCAACCTGTCTTGTAAGAAAGGGACCAGACAGAGTCTCAGGAAGCAAGGGCAATGGCGTCACAGATAGTTACAAAGGCTAGTGAATTTCCCAGAAGGTACAGGTCAGCTGGTTCCCAAGATCAGCATGTACCTGGGTGGAGACCTGCAGACACCTGGGTTCAGAAGCCGACCTGGGGGTGCATCTGAAATCTATATGGGCAGCTCTGCCCTTCACTACCTTGCTCTCAGCAGTGTCCCGTCATGCCTGTGAGGACCCGGAAGGAATGCTGACTGAGCCCCTGATGTCAGTTGGTGGACTGAATGCAGGTCTCAGGCTGTTGACTCGCTGGGGTGGGAAAGCTCTCTGATGGGATGGATGCAGGTGTCCCGAGGTTGTGTCTCTTCCAGACGGAGGGCTTGCTCCTGCCAAGCATCCAGTGACGGCAGTCTGTACTCTTGATTTTCACTCGCAGATCTTCAAGCTGCTGCAGGCCCCATTCACAGACTGTGGGGATGGCCCCATGCTTCGCCTGGAGGAACTGGGGGACCAGCGGCATGCTCCTTTCAGACACATCTGCCGGCTTTGCTACCGGGTCCTGCGACATTCGCAGCAAGACTACAGGAAGAACCAGGTGGGGGTCAAGGGTGATGGGAAGCCACTGTCTCCTCCCTGGAGTTCATGTGCTTTGCTCAGCAGCACAGGTGGTTCACAAGCCTGGGGAGAAGATGTGATATAGAATCCTTAAGAAACACACTGGGGAAACATCACATGGTGCCCCCAAGATAGGTCCAACTATAAAAATCAAATTAAAAAATAAGAATTTAAAAAATAAGAAAAATAAAGAAATACCAGAAATTCCCCTTTCAGTGAGATTTCTGATTTTGAAACTGATAGGACATTATGATTTTTTTTTTTATGGCGTATTCCCTTCCCTGAAGGTTGAGTGGTAAAGTGATTATGTTTATGTTACAAGTAAATGGAGTCTTGCCTTCCTACTGCCTTCAAGATCCTGTATCTCTGTTAATAACTTTTCTTTAGTTTGGTGCCAGCTCATATTTTGTGATATCCTAAGCTATTAACTATAACTATAACCGTGTGTGTGTGTGTGTGTGTATGTGTCTATGCACACATAATACAATATATTCTCCCCATGAAATAAATGGGGTGACTTCTTGGAGTGGCATTCCAAACAATACTGCATCCAAGGAAACTGAGAACTCTGTGGCTACGTCATGGGTTCTAAACCAGGGGTCATTGTGTGCCCAAGAAGCAGCTGGCAATGCCTAGAGACACTTTTGACAGTTATAGCTGGGGAGTGTTACAGTCACCCAGTTGGTAGAGGTCAGGATGGTATAAGATATTCAGGACAACCCTCTGCAGTAACAAGTTATCTAGCCCCAAATGTTGACAGTGCTGAGATTAAAGCCTGGTGCAGTAACAGATGCCTGTAATCCCAGTGATTTGGGAGCTGAGGCAAGAGGATAGTGAATTCGAGGTCAGCCTCCAACACTTTGCAAGACCCTGTCTCAAAACTAAACACAAGGTGTAGCTCAGTGGTAAAGATCCTTGGGGTTCAATCCCTAGTACCAAAACCAGAATAATAGCAGTAGTAATAATAATAACACTGAGATTAAGAAAGCCTGCTCTGCGTACAATACTATAGATGGAGATCTTACTCTGCTCCTCTTTGCATTCTTGGAAGGAGGATTCTGCAGGCCCCATCGTGTCTGCCAGGCCATGTTGCTTGTTTGTGAGGAAAGTAAACCAGTCCCTCTTGCTGCTGCTGGAGTGGATGTCTTTTCTTAGTGGTTTATGGATCCTGTGCAAGTTGGCAGAGCTGTATCTCTGAAGGCCAGTGAATTCCCAAACATGTACTCTTATTGAGTATATGTGGCCCACAGGCACCATGCTAATCCTGAATTGCCCCCAAAATGTAAGAACTAATAAAAAATAAAGCCAGTTTCAAGAGTCACTTGAACTTTGAGCATGCAATCTTTTTTAATTGTAATTTTTTAATTGGAAAACAAATATACAACTTGGAATGGATTTGAAGCAAATTGTACCATAGCAAACAGTCTTTTTTGGGCATGGAGCTGTTTTTGAATAAAAGCAAACAACTATTTGTAAGAGGCTTCCTTGAGTTCACAGATATTTTTATGGAATGTGATGTGTGAGCCCAAAGAAAGAAGGCCAAAGATGGGCTTGTTTATTTATTAATAGGAAGTAGCCTATTAATATGATCGATTGGCTTAGATATTCCCAACTTTCTTCTATTCATTGACTTTAAAATTGAATTTCTTGCCAGACATGGTTGCACACACCTGTAATCCCAGTGACTCAGGAGGCTAAAGCAGGAGGATTGCAAGTTCAAAGCCAGCCTCAGCAATTTAGCAAGGCCCTAAGAAACTCAGTGAGACCCTGTCTCTAAATGAAAAATATAAAAGAGCTGGGGATGTGGCTCAGTGGTTAAGTACCCCTGGGTTCAATCCCTGGTACCATAATAATAATAATTATTATCTCTGCCCTCCCGCCCCATGTAAGCAAAATGTGGTAACACTGTTCCAAATGTCCAGATAGGCTTTGTCGGTATTAATTCAACAGCACACAGAGGAACAAGGCACAGTTAAGTCCTGTTGAATTAGTACTGAACACAGAGCTGAGTAATAACTTTTGACCTTGTGGAAAAATAAGTCATCTGATTAAAATTTATACCATATACTTCAAAAATCCACATGTAAGTACAAGGAGTTTTGATTAATGACATCTGTGGGGCAGGTTTAGTAAAATAAGAGGTGCCAGGGAGTTGACAGCTGTTGCCCCAGGACAGAAAGCTGGGGAAGGTGACCCTTGGGATCTGCCTGCTAAGGGGTACGTCTCTTCCGGGGGTGCTGCTGCTGTCCTGTTACACGGGAGCCACACTGTCAGTCATTCAGCTGACCTTTCTTTTCTGCCCCTTGCAGGAGTATATAGCCAAGCAGTTTGGCTTTATGCAGAAGCAGATCGGCTACGATGTATTGGCCGAGGACACCATTACTGCCCTGCTCCACAATAACCGGAAACTCCTGGAGAAGCACATCACAGCGGCCGAGATCGACACGTTCGTCAGTCTGGTGCGAAAGAATAGGGAGCCCAGGTGAGGTGCTAGCGGGGTGCATGGGGAGGTGTCTGAGCATCTCAGGTACGGGTTGGTGCTTTTACCAGGCTCGCTGTCCTTGGGGCTGCCAGTGGCAGGTTTTAGTTAGGCAAGTCTCAGGTGGCTGTGGATGATTGGCAGGGATGCAGTAGTAGATGAGGTGCCAGGTGGGATCCTAGCTCCCACATCTTTCCCTGTTGGGGGGCAATAGCTTTCCTCCCCAGTTTTAATTCCCTCACCTGCTCAACAGGTAGTTATGAAAATCAGACACGAGTAACTATTCGTGAAGAGGTTAGCCTGTAATGGATGCAGAGTAAACTGTAATTACGGTTGGCCACTCATTCCCTTTTTGGCACCCCGTGAATACCAGGCAGATCCCACCCCCAGGATATCATCAGTAAGTCTTTTGCAGACGTAGCCGTTGCTGGGGTGTTTTATTATACACTAGTGATTCCTGCCCATTCCATGTCATTCATGTAGAGCTGTCCCCCTTCCCTTCTTCCTCTCTCCACGTCACTAAGATCCACACTGTTTCAGCTAAAGGCAACAGCAGGTCCCAGCATGGCCATTACGAGTGCCCCCACTGGAGAGCTGCTTAGGGCTGCTAGAGGACATGACTGCACCCATAAAAACAACCCGCATCTCACAGGGCCTGCTGGGGGCCAGGAGGGGAGCCAAGGAGGCACTTCCCGTACCCACAGGATGGAGCTCTGGAATTAAACCTCCTTTTCTGTAGATGAGAAAACTGAAGTATAATGAGGTTAAGTGATTTCTCCAAATGACAGTCCCTATCAGCACAATGAGTCAGCACCCTGGCCAGGCTTCCCTGGGCAGTCGAGCCTCAGAGCCTGGCCCCGACCACTCAGGCTCTCCACCACCTCTTCCTGATGTGGACTCTTTCTCCTGCTCTCCTCCTCCTCCTCATTTTGGCCTGATCAGCTCTTCCTTGGCCACAATCACTGCCATCTCTCTTCTATGACTCCTTTGTTCCTTCATCCGGGGTTCTAGTGGTGCTGTGGTTACAGGCACCCTGGCCTCCGTGTGGGAACTGCCTACCTGAGGAGGAATCCGACTCTGCCCGCCAAGCCTCTGCTCTCTCTCCAGTTCTGTTTTCCATCTCTGGTTAGGTTCCTGGATTACCTCTCTGACCTCTGCGTGTCCATGAACAAATCCATCCCGGTGACCCAGGAGCTGATCTGCAAAGCTGTGCTGAATCCCACCAACGCCGACATCCTGATTGAGACCAAGTGAGTCCGAGCTGGGGGCTTAGGGTCAAGCAAAGGAAGGGGTGTGGGTGGAGACGGGGAGGCTCCATGGAGGTTTGTGCCCCTTCATTTCTTGAGTCAGTCCGAGTCAGGCTGGCCGCCTTTCACTCTTCACTTTTCAACTCTTCTCTGGGTGGTGGTGGGGGTTTGTGGGGTGGCCTCTCGGTAGATTTCGAAGCATCCTGGCTTAAACATCACGTAAGCTCATTGGGGAGCACTAGACAGATGCTAGTTTAATTTTAAGAGGTGAAAATTTTTGAAGTGGGATGAGCAATTAAAAATTTTAAAGGATATCATTAATATTCAGTGTAAACATGAAATCAGTATTGAGAAGAGTTTTAAATGATCACTATTCACAAGTGTTCACTGGTCCATAGATGTTCTGAGTATGGCAGTAGTTTGTCTTTAGGAAGAAAGCAGGCTTTTTTTTTTTCGTCTTTTCCCTATATTTTAAGAAGCAGTTTTTCTGGTAAGTATAATGCAACTGTGTGGATAGTCTTTTATTTATTTATGGTACCAGGGATTGAACTCAGGCATCCTCTGAGCTATACCCTCAACCCTCCCTTTTTTTTTTTTTTAATTTGAGGCAGGGCCTTGCTAAGTGACTTAGGGCCTTACTAAGTTTCTCAGGCTAGCTCTAACTTGCAATCCTCCTGTCTCAGTCTCCTGAGTCATTGGGATTACAGGTATGCAGCACCGTGCCCAGCATGGGTAGTCTTAAAAACTGTGTATTTTTTGTTTCTTATGCATAACTTATCATGGGGCTTGGATTAATGCAGTTTTTTAGCTTCTCTGGGGCTGGGTAATTCTTTGCGGTGGGGGATTTCTAGTGTGTTGTGGGATGTTTAGCAGCGTTCCTGGCTTCTACCCATTAGATGTCAGTACAACCTTTCTCTTTCAGTGTGACAACCCAGATAGTCTCCAGACATTTACAGGGGTCCACTGGAGAAGCAGAACCACCTAGTTGAGAAAGAGGTGGAGGTTCTGTTCCATGTGGCTCTGCTGGAGGGAGGATAAAATACGAAACTGCTTCATGTGTGTAATGGAGCTGGATTTCAAAGGATTTCAGAAATAACACCTTCCCCTTCTCCCCATCTCTAGGCTGGTTCTCTCTCGTTTTGAATTCGAAGGCGTCTCCACTGGGGAAAATGCTCTGGAGGCCGGGGAGGACGAGGAGGAGGTGTGGCTGTTCTGGAGAGACAGCAACAAAGAGATTCGCAGTAAGAGCGTCAGGGAGTTGGCGCAGGATGCCAAGGAAGGGCAGAAGGAGGATCGCGATGTCCTCAGCTACTACAGGTGCGAGGGAGACATGGGGGGCTCGGCTGGCGGTTAGGAATATGCTACTTGCTTGTTGGTTGCTCCCAGGAGTCACCAGGCTGCTCGCTCTGGAAGATCGCCCAGCAGAAAGACAAAGGTGGTGTGTTCAATTTAAGAGCATAAGCTGGGCCTGGTGGTACACCCTGATATCCCAGCAGCTTGGGAGGCTGAGGCAGGAGGATCACAAGTTCAAAACTAGCCTCAGCAACTTAGCAAGGCTCTAAACAACTTAGCAAGACCCTGTCTCTATGTAAAACACAAAAAGAGCTGGGGATGTGGCTCAGTGGTTAAGTGTCCCTAGGTTCAGTCCCTGGTACAAAAAAAAAAAAAAAATCAATTTGCAAGCATATGATCTCCTGAATACGTAATTCATTGACAGCGGGGCATGCCGGGGTCACAAGTAGGAGGAAGGCTTGTGAGGGCCTGTCAGGGCCTGGGATCACCCTTCATCACCATTTGTTGGCGCAGCCTGCATGTATTGTGGTAGTTGAGCGTCAGTCTGTGTGGGTTCAGATCCTGACATATGTTCTTACTAGTTTTCTGACATTGACCAAGATTGACTTCATGCTCCAGTTTCTTTATCTGCAGAATAGTGGTGATTGTACCCACCTTTTGGAATGATTACAGACCGAGCAAGACAATGTCCCCATGTGTGCACATATCTCTGCATTACTATATTTATTTGTACACCTCTGTGCGAATATGGAATGAGAACTGTGAACATTCCTACTCCTGAATCTGAAATTAAAATCGGAAACTTCAAACCCTGACATGACGCTCAAAAGGTTTCAGATTTCAGAGCCTCTCAGACTTTCAGATCAGTATAGACTGCAGGTCTTCCCAAGTCTAGAAAACTCCAAGGTCTGAAACTCTGCTCCTGAGCATTTCCAAGAAGGGATGTGTGACCTTTGCTTCCAAATTCTTACAACACTGTGGGGTCTATTCTAGCCGTCACCCTTCTTGTGATCATAACTCCCCCATACTCTCGTCATTCCTGGGATGTTTCCTGTTGGCACATGCTCACTGCCACCAATCTCCACCTTTGTGTCACCTCCCTGGTCCTTAGTGTCACCCTGCCCCCAGCTCTGAGGCTTCTAGCCCTGCTTCCTGAAGGGAAAGGAAGGAAAAAGGAGGGAAGTAACTCATAGATACTTCTAAGAGGAAGAGGGAAGAAAGTAGTGCTTCTAGTATTTTTCTAATGAAATAACTAAAACTTAGCAATTAAAATGTCTTTTCGTACCTCAAGCATTCCAGTTTCTTCCCTCCCATTATATGATATTCATCCCTTCAATTTCTACTACATGCATATGCCCCATAAATCACATAGTTTTCCCTTATTAAAATTTCATATAAATTATACCCTATGCCAGATACCCTTCTAAAACTGGCCTTGATTATTCAATATTGTTTCTGAAACGTATATCGGTGTTAATAGAGGCAGACAATTTAATTTTGACTTGGGAGATATTCTCTTTTATTAATGTACCATCCAAGAGAACCACTGAAGGCCTAGCCATGTTCCTCTGATTATTTTATAAAACACTTGAGGGTAAAATGGAATCAAGTTACAATGTGATTGCCCTAGCACGGCTGGACGCGTGAGACAGTGGTGTCTCCCTTCGCTCTCTGGCGTAGCATGAACTTTGTTTTATTACAGGAGCCAAAGTTGGGTGTAGAAGAGTCACATAGGGGTGTGGGTGTGAGTTCAGATGGCCAAATGTGCCCCCAGGGAAACAGGGCCTGCCTGGATACCTAGAGTGCCAACCCGACGCCCCTTTTCTTTCCTCAGGTATCAGCTGAACCTCTTTGCTAGGATGTGTCTGGACCGCCAGTACCTGGCCATCAACGAGATATCAGGCCAGCTGGATGTGGACCTCATCCTGCGCTGCATGTCTGACGAGAACCTGCCCTACGACCTGCGAGCCTCCTTCTGCCGTCTCATGCTCCATATGCACGTGGACAGAGACCCCCAGGAGCAGGTCACTCCTGTGAAATACGCCCGCCTCTGGTCCGAGATCCCCTCGGAGATTGCCATTGACGAGTAAGTCTGGCTCCTTCCTGTGGAGACCCCAAAACCTCGTGTTTATAATGTTCGGTGAAGCAATAGCTAAGCCACGTGTGATTTCTACTGAATCATGGAAGAAAGATGAAGTTTTTATTTATCTATTTTTTGGCATTGTTCAGTTTAAAGTGAAATAATTTGCTTGGCAAATATTATTTCATTCCTTAAAGTAAGAGATGTCCAGGTGCAATGCTACATGCCTATAAATCCCAGCAGTTCAGGAGGCTGAGGAAGGAGGATCTTGAGTTCAAGGCCAGCCTCAACAACTTAGCAGATTCTAAGCAACTTCGTGAAACCCTGTCTCAAAAAATAAAAAAGACTAGGGATGTGGCTCAGTGGTTAAGTGTCCCTGGGTTTAGTCCCCTGAAAGAGATGGCATGATTGTGTTTTATACCTTTCGTGTATCTCTAATAGTCTCTACATTTGAATGTGTACTGTGTGCTAAGATCAAGGAATATTAGTGAAGAAGTTGGAAACCTTATTTCTATGCTAGTGGGGAGGACGGGAGAACAGGGTCAGTGACTGATGTGTATGTGGTGACGTGTGCTGAGGAGGAAGAGGTGAACCAGGGTGCAGGGATAGAAAGTATCAGGGACGTTGACTTTGGGGCCGAGTGGCCTGGGCACAGCGTGACACAGTGTTCCCTTCCCCTGTCCCTCCTGCAGCTATGACAGTAGTGGAGCATCCCGAGATGAAATCAAGGAGAGGTTTGCTCAGACCATGGAGTTTGTGGAGGAGTATTTACGGGACGTGGTTTGCCAGAGGTTTCCGTTTTCTGATAAGGAGAAGAATAAGCTTACGTTTGAGGTAACGCACGATGTGACCTGTGTGTTTTAGTTCCTTTTTCAGTGGTCATGAAGAACGTTTTACGGCAATGGGGCAGATATAAAATATGTTAGTAAGTGGTGATTTTTGTCACGGTGCTCTGATTGGTGTCATCAAAAAGAATTTCCACTCAGTTTTGTTCCAGCCTAAAACAGAACCAACACCAGCCACGTGGCTCAAGAAGGGTCTTGGAAGAAATGAAGGAAGGGAATCGGGTCATGCAAAATGACAGAACGTGATTCTGTATTCGTGTTAAAAATGTCAGGGAGAAGCACCCTGGGCTGCCATAGATTAATCATTTGAGGAGCATAAATCCTTATTACCTTTGACTTAAAATGTCTCTGGGACCACTTCCGCCTTTTGGGGTTGTATTTCTGAGGATTGCAGTGGTGGTATTCGTGTCCTTGTTGGTATTACTTGGCTTGCTCGGTGTTAGCCTGGGGCAGCTGCACACACTTGGTGATTAGACCAATTTTATTAACTAGTCATCAGAGCAGATTTGCAGCGTTTTGTTTCTCATTTACTCATTAACAGAGACCGTAAGGGAAATACCTGCCTTCTCTTACCATGAGGAAGGTCAGGTCTCTCGTCTATTACTAACTAGTCAACCTCAGGTGGAGCAGGAAGGTGCCATTCCTCTAACGCCACCTTCTTTTTCCCATGGTAGGTTGTCAACTTAGCCAGGAACCTCATATACTTTGGTTTCTACAACTTCTCTGACCTCCTGCGGCTGACCAAGATCCTCCTCGCCATCTTAGACTGTGTGCATGTGACGACCATCTTCCCCATCAGCAAGATGGCGAAAGGAGAAGAGAATAAAGGTAACGATGATGTGGAGAAGCTGAAGAGTGAGTATCTGATGGTGCCCGTACATCTGAGATGCCCTCCCAGCCTTCCCTGTCCCCATCATGCTCTGCCTCGCCTTGTGACATCACGTCCTTCCCCCCTCCATTCCTTCCACTCTTCATCATGAACATTCTCAAATGTTAAGAAAAGTCCCAGGGAATGTTGTGTGAATTCCCACACCCCTGGTGTCGAGTCTCATGATTAGTGTTTTGAGGCTCTCCTGTGCATTCACCTGTGAGAGTCTGTGTCCACTTTGTGGAACCATTAGAAAGTCACCTGGCATTTTCAGTGTTTAGCTCTCAAAAACATACGTGTCCTCATTTGTTCTTGGACCCTGGATGATAATAGTCACGCATGAAACATGATCAGGCTTGTGTCTTGGTATCTGTTTCCACTTTGTGAATAGGAAAACCCCCTTTATATGCTTATTTCTTCCTCTGTTGTAGGAAGAAACATAGTGAGCACATAGTCTCATTTTTCATCTGGTTTTCTGTAGATGTCTCATGCTATTTGCTAAGCCCTGTGCTGTTGCCGTTTTGCATGCATAATAATGCTGTTTAATTCTGTTGTTAGTTCTTATTCTGCTTTAAGGATTGGGGTATACCTTAGGGGTAGAATTCCTAGCTTGCACGAGGTCCTGGGTTTGATTCTCAGCACCACACACACACACAAAAAGACTTCTCATTTATATGTGAGAAAACTGAGGGATGATATGACGTCCCCATGATCAAGCAGCCTTTGGGAGCAGTGCCAGGTTTCGTGCCTGGTTCGTGCTGAGATCTTACGTACTTTGCACATTAACAGGCACATATGTTGCTGAGGAATAAAACTTGGGGGTGAATCCATGTCACCCACGGGGGGGCCAACAAAACCCAAGTTTTTTCCATTATTCTCAGAAGTCCTCAGCTTTGGGGTGGGCACCCACCTTTTCGGTTTCCTGGGGTCCCGAGAGTGTTTTGGAAGGGGCCAGGTTAAAGGACCTGTTAAGAGCGCTCCTGCCCCTTGCCAGGTGCTCAGGGAACTCTGCAGAGGTCTGACCCAGGTCTGTCCTGGCCCTTCCCAGGCAGTAACGTGATGAGGTCCATCCACGGAGTTGGGGAGCTGATGACCCAGGTGGTGCTCCGGGGAGGTGGATTTTTGCCCATGACCCCCATGGCCGCTGCCCCCGAAGGCAACGTGAAGCAGGCGGAGCCAGAGAAGGAGGATATCATGGTGATGGACACCAAGTTGAAGATCATCGAGATCCTGCAGGTATGGGAGGAGGGGCGGGAAGGTGCACCCAGAGGCACTGTTCACTGCTCTCTGCTCTGATGGAGTCAAGGCGTTCTGAGAAGAAACGGGAAAGACTCTTAGCTCTCCCTTGCTTGGAGCTGACTCCTCTTGATTCCTTCACTGCCATCTCCTGCCCCTGCCCAGCACAGCCTTGTCCCTCCAGCCAAACCAGTACTTGCTGGAGTCCCCTTAACTTCCCAAGGTCACTGCCTCCCTGTCTCTGCCTTTTCTATCCCCTTTCCTTGGAATTCACTGATCTTCCTGCTCCAGGTGCCTGAGCTCCCTGTCGGGGATCCTAAATCCGTTCGGGGTTCCACTGATTTTGCAAACTTTCCTCTTTTCTTTATTCCCTCCATTTTTCTTATATTCGTTCATTCATTCATTTGAAAAATATTCGAGCCCAAGCCAGTGCCAAGTCCCTTTATGCACTGGGAAGCCAACAATGAACCAAGTAGATTAAATTTCTGCTCCTAAGGAGCTCATTTGGATAGCAAGTGTAGGCATTATTTTTTAAAAAATCAGTGCTCAGATGTTAAAATATAAAGAAGGGTCAGGGTGGTGTTCAGAATTGTGGGGAGCCGGGCTTTGGGGGACATTGTTTTCGATGGCATTATCAGAGAAGGCTTCTCCAGTGAGATGTCACCATCAGAGACTTCAATGAAATGAGGAGCTGGCCTTGCAGATATCCAGGAAGAGTCTCAAGACAAAGAGCAAATTCAAAGATCCTGAAGTGGGGGCAAATTGGGGAACAGGTTGTTCAGAGGCAGACAGGAGAGGGTGGATCAGGTGGAGGAAATGCCCGAAATGCTTTTGGATGTTATGAGTTCAACAGTGAGCGACTCAGGATGCCTTCTGTGCGCCTGCTCTAACCCGAACCTGCTCAGAGTCTTTCCATTTGGAAGATGACTTTGTTCAGGAATGAAAATCACCTACAAGGAGCAGAAAGGGGGAGCACAGGCGCAGGGGTTTTGAGCTGTAGTGAGGCCAAGAGGGTCACAAACCCAGGACAAACCCTCCCCTGTGCACGAAGTCTCTGGCTTTTGCCTCTTCAAGGACCTTGCTCTTGGAATGGTTCCCGGCCATTTGTCAACAAGTTCTCCCTCATTCTGTGATGGTTTCCATGTGCCATGCAAACTTGCTACAGTGTCACAACTTAAAAAAGATTACAGCAAAAATGAAATCCTTCTGTTACCAGCAGTTGCTCTTGCCCGTCTTCCTGCCTCTCTGCGTCTTTACAGCCAGCTCACCCACAAGAGTTCAGTGTGTTCACTCCTCCTGTCAGCCGCCCGGGTACCCCGTAACCCATTCATGCCGACACCTACAAGTTACCATCGTAGTGAGTTTTGAAGCTCTGGGAAGATACCAAGTGGAGTGTACAGCAGTCGTTTGGAAACTTAGGGAGTCGGGAGGTAGGCCAAACAGCTGTCTCTTGGAGAGGTGACAGCTCTGAAATGGGGTCAGGTTGCCAAGAGGGCTACCCAGAAACAAAGACTGTACGGAAGGAAGAACGTGAGCTCCTTCAGCAGAGCCAGCAGGCTGATCTTTCTTTTTTGACCTGAGCAGCCATCCTGGGAACAGTGACTCTGCTGGCGTAGAGGGTGAGGGAACACAGGACGTCAAAGAAGAGGGAGCCCAGGGGTCTGTTCCCCAAATCAGGGGAAACAGCCAGAAACATGTTGAAAATATAAACCAAGCTCATACTCAGTAGTAAAAAGAAAACTGCTGTCAGGGCTCCAAAGCAGCCAACTTTACTTTCCCCTGTGTTCGGCCCAGAGATGGCGGTTAGCAGTGGCTGAGAAGTCCTGCTTCACAGGGCGGAGCAGGGAGAGGGTGATGTAGCTGAGTGAGTTGCCGGATGCTGAATCTCCCTAGAAACTAAGGTGATGTGGGCCCACTTGGTGTGTCCCGTGGAAGTTCTGCTGTTGTTAACGTGACTTGAAATCTAGGCCAAGTATTTGCCTCGCTTAGTGCTTAAGGGAATTGGTGCAGGTAATGCTAGGCCCTGCCCGAGCACAGTGGCTTGGCGAGGGGCTGAAGGTGGCTTGTTCATGTAACCAACCTGTTTCCGTTTCCACTTCCATCTTTAGTTCATTTTGAACGTGAGGCTGGATTATAGGATCTCCTGCCTCTTGTGTATATTTAAGCGCGAGTTTGATGAAAGCAACTCCCAGACCTCAGAAACATCCTCCGGAAACAGCAGCCAAGAAGGGCCCAGTAACGTGCCAGGTTGGTGATCCCAGAGTGGGTTTCGGCCATAGAATGGGACCTGGGAAAACTAGAGATGCAAACGGTGTCTTCTAGAAAGGAGTGTTCAGTGGGAGTGTTTTTGAGGACAACTGTACTTCAGATACATGGACCTGAGACTGATTCTTTTGGGACAAGAGAAATAATGGAAAGACCCCACATTGCTTCACTGAAGGATCTTATCTCCTCCTGTCTTGGGGACTTGAGAGCCGAGGTTTTGGTGTTGTGGTTACCTACAAAGTCCCCATAAAACAGAATAATGAAAAAATAAATTTCCGAAGAAATGTCAGTGTTATGAGCAGTTTTACTCATGTTGGAAGTTTTTTCCTGCCCAGGAAGTAGTGGAGACAGGTTAGGCAGAAGGTTGTGGTAGGAAAAAATCCCCTGCCAATCCCACGCTTCCTTGGGTGAGGTCACCACACTCCCCTTCAGCACAAAGAGAAGTGGCAGCAGTGAGGCTCTAGAGGGTGTCCCCTGGGTTAGCGTGGCCCCCCACCTGGGCAGTGGGTGATTCCGGAAGATGTGGGTTAGCCCCGCAGCTTTGCCCCGCTCACCTTTTGAGAGGTTCACCAGCCACACACGTGTCTCAAGTTACATTCCTTAACTTTTCAGGGGCTCTTGACTTTGAACACATCGAGGAGCAAGCGGAGGGCATCTTTGGAGGAAGGAAAGTGCACTTTCAGTTGCTGTGTCGTAGGTGGGACCGGGAGGTGGAAGGCCACTCTTCTTCAGCTCCAAACGGCTTGTCCTCGGCCACATTAATAGCTACTTAATCTCTGGGCTCTGCCTGCTTTGCTGATCTCTGTGTTCTTAGTTCTCACACACTATGAGGTGGCCTGTGTGTGTTTCTTGCCCAGGAGAGAAAGGATTTAAGGAGGTGTCCCCCCAAATGCATACATTGCAAAATCATGTTTAAATGAGAAAACTATGTTTAAGTGAGAAAATAGAAGCAAAAGAAACAGGGGACTCAAAACAGAGCTTCTGACCACCACGAGCTTCTTCACTGGTGGGCCGTGGTGTTAGCAATGCAGCAAGGAAACACTGTCTGTTCCTTGTTCCTATTGTTGAATCCCTCCTAAAATATCACAGTACTCAGTTTTGAATGAAAATATTATTATTGTTGTTGTAAACGCGTACACCTGCCAGCTTAGAATTTAGCATAAATACCCCATTCCATCATTCTTATAGTAACCCACATTGGGGGGATTATTTGTTGATGCGTAATAGCCTCCTCCCAAAGCCTTGAGGATTAAAAAGCTTAGAGTTTTGTGTGGCTCAGGGGTTTAAAAAAAAAAAAAAGTTTGACAGTTAAACAGCCTACTGTCCCCTCCCCTCATGGAATAGTTGAAGGTGAAGTAAGTTTTTTAGCACTGAAGGAGCTAAGTCCTGTGAAATGGAATAGAGGGTTGGAAACCTGTCCAGGCCGGGTGTGAGTGAGGCCTCCGAGGCTCACTAGGCCTCTCCTCTCCTGTGTGCTCCTGCAGTGAGGAGAACACCCCACTGGACCTGGACGATCATGGCGGCCGCACCTTCCTCCGCGTGCTGCTCCACCTGACCATGCACGACTACCCACCCCTGGTGTCCGGGGCCCTGCAGCTCCTCTTTCGGCACTTCAGTCAGAGGCAGGAGGTCCTCCAGGCCTTCAAGCAGGTACCTTGCGTGGCCAGTGGGTGTGTGGTGTGTGACTAGTGGACTGTGTCCATTAAGGCCCATGCCGCTAACACACTAAACTCCTCAAGGTTCAACTGCTGGTCACCAGCCAAGATGTGGACAACTACAAACAGATCAAACAAGACCTGGATCAGCTGCGGTCCATCGTGGAAAAGTCTGAGCTGTGGGTTTACAAAGGGCAAGGCCCCGACGAGACCATGGATGGTGCGTCTGGTGAAAACGAACATAAGAAAACCGAGGTGAGAGAAGCATGGGTTAGGGCACCCGGCAGTAGGACGGGCCTCTCAAAACAAGGACACTCCCTGTTCTATCTATAGATACAAATGCAGATTATAGCTGGGCTTTATTTGTAAAAGTTTTCCTTGTTAAGACACGAGGGTGGCAACTATTCTCCTAGGAAAAAAAGGTACAAAATCAAAGGTGAGCTGCATCTCTAGGCCACCCAGAGCCATGTAGGGAGACCCGGATGTGGAGGGAATGTCTCTTCCTGACGCCCCAGGAATAAACGTGTTCTGCAGCCAAGGCCTGGCATCCTCTTCCTGTTGAATGTAGATGTCTTAGGAGCAGACCCACCATGGCTGTTGGAAAATAGCACAGAACTCCTGTTCTTTGATGAAAGGTTGTGCTTGCCCTAGCAATCCCACACTCGCCCGAGAGCTGTGCAAACCAGAGTTGTGTTCCTTTTGGTCCCTAGGAGGGGAATAAGTCAGAAAAGCAAGAAAGCACCAGCAGCTACAACTACAGAGTGGTGAAAGAGGTAAGCCCTCAGCCTTCTCCCTTCTTTAATCCCGCAAAATAAAGGCAGAATGGTCTCTTTTATTATTTTTAATTTTTTTTAAGCTGTCAGTGGGCCTTCATTTATGTATATGTGGTGCTGAGAATCAAACCTAGTGCTTCACACATGCTAGACAAGCCCTCTACCACTGAGCCACGACCCCAGCCCCAGAACGTTCTCTTTGATAAGTGGGTACTAACACACAATAAGTGGGGAGGAGGGGAGAACAGATGTTCACTGGATTAGACAGAGGGGAAGGAAGGGCAGGAAGGGGGATGGGAATAGGGACGACAGTAGAATGAATGGCCTTAACTTTCCTGTGTTCATACGTGAATACATGACCAGTGAAGCTCCATATCACGTTCAACACCAGAATGGGAAGTTATCTGCCATGTATGTATAATATGTCAAAGTACACTCTACTGTCAGGTTAACAAAAAAAAAAAAACATTCTCTAGGGAGCTCTAGTTAGTGGTGGTCAGTTGAAGGCAGGAACGCCTGCGCTTTCTTTTTCATGTAAAATTTAGCAGGAAGAAAGTAGAGCTCATGGGCCGAATGCCTGTGGCTTTCAGCATCTGAGTTTGAACATGCCCTGCCATTTCTTTCTTGTGTGGTCCGTTCCTCACCTCTGAGAGGTGCAGCCTTTTTATAGGCACCCCGTGTTCCTGAAACTTTGCAGTCAGATGCAGGATTAGCTGGTGTGATGGTCAGGTGTGTGTCTCCACACCATGGTACCCACCAGTGACAGCCACAGCTCTTTGGAAATCTTTACATGAGGTGGTTCAGAGTTGGCAGGTTGGGAGCTTTGTGTTTTTGCACCCCAGAGCAAACTCTTCCTCCGTTCTCAGCAGTTGAGGCCTGCTTGTAGGATTTGCAGTGATCCCTTTGAAACTGTCCCGCTTGTTCTTGAAGCCATAATCGGCTAATTCTGGAAGGCACATTCTTGATCTTGCATGGGTTTGGTTTAATGCAATTGACAGGGATGCTCTAGGCTGGATTTACCTTGTTTTTTTTGGGGGGTTGGTGGGGGACAAGAGTGGTACCAGGGATTGAACTCTAGGGCACTCACCCGTCAAGCCGCATCCCCAGCCCTATTTTGTATTTTATTTAGAGACAGGGTCTCACTGAGTTGCTTGGCACCTCACTTTTAGCTGAGGCTGACTTTAAACTCGGGATCCTCCTGTCTCAGCCTCCCGAGCCTCTGGGATCGCAGGCGTGCACCATCGCGCCCGGCTATTTGAGGTTTTTAATGTATTGTGGTCCCTTCCGCCTGCCTGTCCTGTGGTCTTTTTCTAATTTCTGGTTTTCTGAGGTTGCTTCTTTTCTCCCAGATTCTGATTCGGCTCAGCAAGCTGTGTGTGCAGGAGAGCGCCTCCGTGAAGAAGAGTAGGAAGCAGCAGCAGAGGCTGCTGCGGAACATGGGTGCCCACGCCGTGGTGCTGGAGCTGCTGCAGATCCCCTACGAGAAGGTGAGCAGGCCCCTGGCTCGCGGCTGCACTCCCAGGGGGATTCCTCCAGCCCTTCAGGTTTGGGAATCATCCTGCACCATTTTTAAGATTCTCTGATGGAAGAAGAGTCGATTTATTCTGATTCCCAAGCCACATTGCATAGACGTGTGTCTATCAGGGGTCAGCCCTACACCTACAATGGGCTGGGCCTCTATGGTTTCATTTACAATACTGCAGTAGCAATGTAAGTGTCACAGGTTGCTGAATGCTGATGGGAACATGGGACTTGCCCATCCTTGTCATCTTCTGGGTGCGTGTTTGAAGTGAAGACACTTGGATTGAGGTCTTCTGTTTGGTTGCTATAGATGGTCCTTGCAGTGGATGGAGACTGGGTTTAGGGAAGCAGGAGCCTAACTCCTTGGCATCTGGTTTGCTGCTGCTCAGGCCCTTGTGAAAGTATTCACTCCATTCTGCAAGAGCCAGTGGGGCTTTGTGCTATGCCCATTTGACAGCAGAAACTGAGGCTTGTGCAGGTTCAGAGTCCAAGGGCCACAACTCAGGTGTGTCAAGTTCACCAGTGGCTTCAGAGAGGCTAGCTTGCTGGTGAAGAGGCCTCTGAAGAGGGCTCGCTGTCCACCGAGTGCTCACAGGCTCTCCTTAGTTCTTGTGGTCCTGCAGGTGAGACGTGGTGTCATTGGCCCACTTTAGATGAGGAGGTTCAGGGGGATCCAGAAAGCCTCCCCCTCAGTCACAGGGACCTTGAGAATCAGCCAGGTTGGGCCCAGCTTTCAACAGCCACAAGTCCAATGTAAGCTCAGTGCCCCAATAGGACAGTGCAGCCTGGAAAGTTTAACTTGCAGTTAACATGGGTCATGTGTCACTCAAAGTCTGGCTGCCAGGAGGACCAGAAGGGTACTTCTGCCTCCCCGTGTGGGATTTTGCCAACCACAGCTGGGTCTCCTAATATCATTGGTTTCCCTAATGAGCAGTGGACATCTTCAGAACAGCATCAGTCTCCATGTACCCAGATAAGGTTGCAGTCTGTGGTTTAAAGGTGTGTGTGCGTGCGCTTGTTCACTTTGGGATGGGCACAGAAATCCCTGTGCATGAGTGGTGTACAGGGAGCCCACCAACAAGGAACCCTGTGAGATGTGATGTCTTCAAAGCTTATTCGCCTTATAAAAATCTGAATTCAAGCCCGGTAGGCTCTTTGGTGCCTTGAGCACCTGGAGATTGCTTTTCAGTGGGCAGAGGCAAGCGTGGTACTATTGAAGGTTCCCGCGGCAGCAGCTCTCTGTCCCGAGCCCTCCGATCTCTTCCAGCTGGAAGGTTTGCCGCCTCTCCACTCCCACTGGCAAGAGACAAATGTAATACCCGCTCTGTCATGCTGGGACTTGTGATTCGGATCCCTTATCATTCTCCTGTTGTTGTTCCATGATCAGAGCTGGTCACTCAGATTCCTTCTGTCACTTGTTCCTGGCAGGTATGTCCTGTTTTCTCCCAGGGTTATTTTTTTAGACCAGAGGTGACAAAGCCATAAACATGGGCCAGATGCAGCCCACTGTTTCTGTAGGACACGTCAGAATGATGGCCACATTTTGGAATTGTTACCTGAGTACTCTCTGTACTTGATTTTGCTCCTGGACCCACTAAGCCTGAAATATTTACTGTCTTGCCCTTTCAGAAAAACTTGGCTGACCCCAATCTAGTCCAGAACCAATGGCCAACATGACGTGCTTTTAGTATTTGTTTTACAGATAAGGAAATGGGCCCAGAGAGGTTATGTAACTTGCTCCAGGTCACATAGCAAGGAAGTTATCAAGCTGGGATAAGAACTGAGGAGTTGTTTTCCAGGCCTGCATCCTGCACTCCCCACTCTCCTGCCTCTGCGATGGGACGATGGATGTGACATGCCTTGGGGAGACTCTTGGGGGCTGTAGGAATCTGAAGGACGATTTCCACTGAGGGACTTTCTGTTTTTGCTCTCTCAAATGTTTTCTAACTTAGAATTGGGCAGAATGACCATTGGTTTTATATAATTGTCTTATTACAGGATATTTAACTTTTTGCAAACTGATGTTTTAAATGCAGGAAATACTTTTGTTATATAGAATGAGAACCCCATCATCTTGTCTGTGGAGAGTCACATCATGATGCATGTGCAATGCTCAGGGAAGGTACTGTCCCCATTTTGCAGAGGGGACTGCTAACTCCTGGGTTTAAACAGCATGCCTGAGGTTACCAGGAGGTGTGACAGGTGCACTTACTCCCGTTTTTGACGTACCCACTCCCGTTTTTGATGCACCCTGCCCTGTTACCTGCCTCTGGAGATTAACATGCCACTGTAGGTTGGGAACTTAAACAGATGAGACCAGGAGCTGTGGAGAGGAGCGCTCACCAGCTGGGAGGAGGTCGGCCTGGCCTGCTCTCAGCCGTTTTCAGAAATGGGGTTCAGAAGGTTGCTGGGCAGCGGAATCCCGGGAGCTTTCACCCCATTGCCTTTTTCCTGAATAAAGTCTTTTCTGATTGTGCCCTAAGGCTACTGGGAGAGAATTCGACTTATGATGAGGCTTAGATAAGTGACTGGCTGCCTCTTGGGGCAGACCATGCAGCGCCTCAGCATTTACCCACAGCCAGCCCTCAGCGGGGGCCTGAATTCTGCCTTCTTGGGAAGTGTTGGCGTGGAAGCTGGTGTCCTGCCTGGCCTGGTGATCAGTGCTTTCTGTGTCTGTCCCCGCCACAGGCTGAAGATACCAAGATGCAGGAGATAATGAGGCTGGCTCATGAATTTTTGCAGAATTTCTGTGCAGGCAACCAGCAGAATCAAGCATTGCTGCATAAACACATAAACCTGTTCCTCAACCCAGGGGTAAGGCTGGAGGCCCGTCTGCAAAGCTGTTGGGGAGGGGGCTGGAACAGCTTGTCCTTTCACTGTTGTGACTTCTGGGACTTGTAATGCAGTATTCATTCCAAAGGGGAACATTGTGACCAGCTGTCAGGAGGACATAAATATTCCCCCTATTTTGAGGTTAGGAAAGGGGGGTACATGGGAGGGGAGAAGGGAGGAAACCACAGATGCAGAGGAAGATAGGTTTCTCTGTTTTTCCTAATCATCTCTCTTATTGTATCAGACCTAGCAATATGGAAATGCCAAGTCTTACTACCTAGCCAAATGCATAATATATCTACAAAAAACATCTGTATTCCATGTGATTTTGTTCATATTTAAAGAAATATTAAATATGTGTTACACATTTAAAAATATAAATATATGACATATGTATTACATATTTTTAAATAGTACTTTATCTTGCATTTCCTTTTTTAAATTTAACACACAATGGCTCCCTTTGGAAATCAACTCTATATATTTTTCTCATTCTTTTTTCCTTAATCTTTTTAATTTTTAAACTTTTTAAATTAGTTATACATGACAGTAGAATACATTTATGCACTGATATATCTTACATAGATGGGATGTATTTCTCATTTTTCTGAGTGTTCATGTTTCAGAATCACATTGGTCATGCAGTCACATAGATACATACAGTGATAATGTCTGTTTCCTTCTACTACCCTTCCTATCCCCACATTCCCTTCTCCTCTCCTCCCATCACTCCCTTCTACCTAATCTAAGGTAGCTCTGTTCTTCTCTAGTGCCCCCTGCCTTATTGTAAATTAGCATCTGCATATTAGAGAAAACATTCGACCTTTAGTTTTTTGAGATTGGCTTATTTTGCTTAGCATCCATTTACTGGCAAATGGCAGAATTTTATCCTTATTTTTTCTCATTCTTTTTATGGCTAAGCAGAATTCCATTATATGGCTATAGCTTTTTAAAAACCATTTCTATATTAACGGGTAATGAGGCAATTTATAGTTTTGGGCTTTGTAAATAATACTGTGGAAGGACATCTTTGTACATGAACATAAACAGAGTATTGCTAGAGGTTTCCAGAAAAAAAAAATGTTTGCTGGATTGTAGGATAATATTACTTGTTTGCCTTGTTAAGAAAAAGAAAAGGCAAAAGATGGAAAGATTGAGTGTGGAGGTGCACTCCTGTAATCCCAGTGGCTCAGGGGGCTGAGACAGGAGGATCACAAGGTCAAAGCCAGCCTCAGCAATTTAGTGAGACTCTATCTCAAAATAAAAAAGGACTGGGCATGTGGTTCAGTGCTTAAGTGCCTCCTGAGTTCAATCCCTGGTACCAAAGAAAGAAAAAGAAATAATAAAAAGATTGAAGTCCCTTCCTCACACCAAACATAAAACTCAGTAACTCTGTATAAAGGGTCCCAGATAATGCTACTGAAAGATAACATGAGAATAACTCATGACTGTAGGAAAAGTAAAGTTTTCTTAAACAGTGTGCAAAGATCACTGATTATAAAGGAAAATACTAATAAATTGGAGTTAAAATTTAACTTCTGGTCATCATTCCTAGTGGCAAGCCAGAGGACGAGACAAGACATCACATTGCACTTGTTCAACAAAGAATTCATATGCAGAACATGCATAACCAATTCAAAAAGGTCAATGAGGGAAAAAAAATAGACAACCCACTTGTAAAGACTGGCAAAGCTCTCGAACAGGGTCTTGTTAGTAGAAAATGTTGAAATGGCCAATAGATAGGACGGCATGCTCCATATCATGAGTTGAGTCATCAAATGCAAATTTATCTGATGCATCTGTGTACTGTAAGAAAAGACTACGATTTAAAAGTCTGACGATACTAAGCACCCACAGGAATGTGGAGTAGCAGTATTGTACAGCATAGATGGTAACACCTTTTCCAAAGCTTCTAAAACCAAACATATTCATATCCTGTGACTTGAATTCTACTCTTGGGCATGAACCCAAAACAAATGTGTGGCAGTCAGATCATGGGGTGGGTGTGGAGAAGGCCTGTTTCTCTCTGTCGTCCATTGAGGTGGGTGCTCTTGGGTGATTCATTTTTCTGTGCACTTATTTATCTTAGGAAAAGTTGACTAGCCAGGTGCAATGGTGCACCCCTGTAATCCCATTGACTTGGGAGGCTGAGGCAGGAGGATCATTAGTTCCAAGCCAAAAGCCAGCCTCAGCAACTTAGCAAGGCCCTAAGTAACTCAGTGAGACCCTGTCTCCAGAAAAAAAAGGTCGGGGATCTGGGGGTGTGGCTCAGTGGTTAAGTGCCACTGGGTTCAATCCCTCATACAAAAAAAAAAAAAAGCACAGGGTGAGACAATGGAACAGGAAGCCTCCCTGGGGGTCACAGGCCTCCCTCTGGCTGTTCTCACTGACCTGCACCTGCCTCCTCCTGACCGTCCCCATGCTCTCGTCCCTCCCTGCGGCAGATCCTGGAAGCCGTGACCATGCAGCACATCTTCATGAACAACTTCCAGCTCTGCAGTGAGATCAACGAGAGGGTGGTCCAGCACTTCGTCCACTGCATCGAGACCCACGGCCGCAATGTCCAGTACATCAAGTTCCTGCAGACGATCGTCAAGGCCGAAGGGAAATTTATTAAGAAGTGCCAAGACATGGTCATGGCCGAGGTGATGATCACACATTTCTGGGAAGCTCCATCCATAGGGATGTAAAACGGGTTTGGTCTTTGCCACGTGGTCTGCATCCTTGGCAGGAGTCCTGCGGGAGGGTAGCTTGTGATGATGGTGTGCGTGTGGTTTTATGTCTGGGGCCCCGGCAGGAGTCGGATCCAGGTTTTCATTTCAGGGAAGCTGTTAACTCTAAGGACATTTGACTTGCATTCCTCTGAGAGGACAAAGGAAGAGGAACAGTGAACCAAGAACGTGGTGCATGAGGCTTCAGTGTGGTTAGGGGCCAGGAAGCCAGTGGAGCTTTCCTGCTCACGGATGATGACTTTTATCTACAGTTACCTGAATCATTAGCTTGAATTTTTTCTTTTTGGTACCAGGAGTGCTTAACCACTGAGCCATATCCCCAGCTCTGTTTTTGTATTTTATTTAGAGACAGGGTCTCGCTGAGTTGCTTAGGGCCTCCCTAACTTGCTGAGGCTGCCTTTGAACTCAAGATCCTCCTGCCTCAGCCTCCTGAGCTGCTGGGATGACAGGTGTGTGCCACCACTCCTGGCTGTCTTATATCATCCTGTCGAACCATGACTGCAGCATATTTAATCTTTTCACCTTAGAAAAAAGGTCTGTCCAGAAGGGAATCCTTTAAAATAAAATCTCTGATGATGCCGACTCAACTTGGTAATGCTTAGATTTCTACTTTTGTGATTCCGGTGGCAGCAGAATGGTGTGGTCAGGAGAGTGGGCTCAGGAGAGGATAGGAAAGCTGGCTGAGGCGCTGTCCTGGCTGAGTGACTTGGTCGTGTTACTTGGCACCTCAATGAGCGTTCCCAAGCGGTGTTCACTTGAAAGAGTCAGTATGTGGATTAAATGAAATAAAATGACAATAATAGCTAACATCTACTAGAAGCCTGCCATATTCTGGAATAGGCAGTAATCTACTTATTCTACACAACAGCACCCTGAGTTAGAGATTGTATTTGTTCCCATTTTTATTTATGAAGAAACGGAGGCACAGCAAGGTTAGGTAATCCATCTATTTTAGTCAGCTTTTTCGTTGCTGAGACTAAAAGACCTGACAAGAACAATTAGAAGAGGAAAAGTTTATTTGGGGGGCTCAGGGTTTCAGAGGTCTTGATCTATAGACGGCCGACTCCATTCTTTGGGGCCCGAGGTTAGGGCATCATGGTGGAAAGGTGTGGTGGAGGAGAGGAGCTCAGGACGTGGCACCAGGAAGCAGAGAGAAAGACTAAGCTCACAAGATACATTCCCCAAAGTCCCACATCTTACGTAGCCACAAGCACAGGTCAGTTAATTCCTGTTGGTGGATTAAGGCTCTTGCAACCCAGTCATTTCACCTCTGAACTTTCTTGCCTTGTCTCTCACATGAGCTTTTGGGGGACACCTCACATCCAAACCGTCACACCATCTGAGGAGTTTATCTTGATATCTGGCCCATAGAGCATGAAGGTTAGCTGTGGATAAATAAGTAACATGGACCTTCTTTATTTTGACCCCTGGGATCTTCTGTAACTCATCTCGTGCTGAGGCAATGTCTTGTCTTAGATTTACGAGGAACCGTGTCCTGGGGGCACGTTATGAACAGGGGTCCTCAGGCTCTTTGATGAATGTTGAAAGGAAAGGTATCTGACAGGTGTGCACCACATATCTGAATTGGAAGTGCATAATCTGTGATCGAAGAGTTAAGACATTAGATGAAAGACTTGTAAAGATACTGGTTCAGTAAAACAAGGAGATGAAACATTTAAAACAAAAAAACCACAGTCTCATTAGGTTTGGGAATACAGGTGCTAACTTGCAGTCTTTCTTTCTGCCTGATGTGTACGTGGTGTAGAGACCTTCTTGTCCCCTAATTTTTTTTTTTTTTTTTTAAGAGCACTGTGGTGTTTCTGTATCCTGGGAGTAAAAGGATCATTTAGGAGATTTTTAGTTGATCAGTTATGTGAATGAATGAAAGATCCAGACGAGTCTAGGAATACAGGTCCCACGGGTTTGGGAAGGTAAAGGCCAAGACAACATGCCTCTTTCTGGGCACATGGAATCTGGTAAGGCTGCCTGACCCCTGCCCTTTCCACAGCTGGTCAACTCTGGAGAAGACGTGCTCGTGTTCTACAACGACAGAGCCTCCTTCCAGACTCTGATCCAGATGATGCGGTCTGAGCGGGACCGGATGGACGAGAACAGCCCTCTCATGTACCACATCCACCTGGTGGAGCTGCTTGCTGTGTGCACCGAGGGCAAGAACGTGTACACAGAGATCAAGTGCAACTCCCTGCTCCCGCTGGACGACATCGTCCGCGTGGTCACCCACGAGGACTGCATCCCTGAGGTGAGCCAGCCCAGCCCTGAGGGACCTCCCCAGCTGCCTCCATGTGGCACCTGGGGCCGTGGTGTGGTGGGCCATTGGTGGTGTTCAGACCTGCACTCATTTTTCAGAAGGATACTGTTCTGCTGGGACAGCCACTTCCTGGGCGTGAGGTTGGTGTGATCGGAACACAGGGAAAGTCACTTTCTCTCTGTCCCCTTCCCGGGAGGAGACAGCCTCAGCTCTGTGGAACTAGTTCAATCAGTGTGCAAAGAGGCTGTGCCCTGGGCCACCACCTTGTACATGGGTGGGGAATAGAGTGAGATACAGGTCACATGAGTGTCCCTGAGCTCTGTCCAGGAGGGAATGCTTTAAAACTCATGATAGAAATAATGAACGACCATTATGAGAAACTTAGAAACAGCAGGTAATCAGAAAATCAAAGTGACCCAGAATCCCACCCCTTATCACTAGTAACTGTTAAAATTTGAAGTTAATCCTCCCAGACCTCTTTCTTTTTTTTTTTTTCCTTTTCACATATATTGGTAACAGAAAAGTGGATCACACTGTATATATCTTCTCTTTGTATATTTGAAAAGATAGATTCTTAGTTTATATTGTAAACTAAAATCATGTGTAGCATATGATGCATACGAGATATTTATACTAGTATGTTTTTAGATGTCAAACACATATCTGCTTTTATTCAGTGCTGAGGATTGAACCCAGTGCCTCTCACATGCTGGGCAAGTGCTCTACCACTGAGCTACAACCCCAGCCCTGAGATGTAGAATATTCCTTTAAGAAAACATTCTATCACATTTTTCGTGTTTGCTCTTTTGGGGTGTCCATCTCATAGCTGCTGCTCTAGATATTCTTCTTTGATTCAAGCATTGCAATCACCTCCCAACCCAGGCCACCTCTTCAATGGTACCTTGTCACGAACACATGTTCTTAATGTCTTTATTAGTGCATCATAACGATCCATGATAGGTGGGTTAATTTTGACATGTTCATCATTGCACATGACAAAATTGGCTCCATTTCAATCTCAATGAGAAGTTCTTAATTTTGATGTGGTCAGACTTGTCGCCCCTCCTATGGTCAGGGTGTCTGCTCGGTTCTTTACCTGGAGGTCATGAACAACCTCGCTTCCTAAAGCTTGTGCTTTTGAATTTTATAATCATACACTGGGGGTCTTAAAAAAATGGACGGATCCTGGCCCCAGCTCCTCACTTGGAAGCTGATTCTCTCCATCCCCCAGGACAGTCCCCCAGAGGCGTGTTTCTGCCTGCAGGTTAAAATCGCCTACATTAACTTCCTCAACCACTGCTATGTGGACACGGAGGTGGAGATGAAGGAGATCTACACCAGCAACCACATGTGGAAGCTGTTTGAGAACTTCCTCGTGGACATCTGCAGGGTGAGTCTTTCCGGAACCCAGGAGGCGGGGTAGTGAGCGTGTGTCCCACTGGCCGCAGCCCTGTGCAGACATTTGTGGGGAAGAGATGCCTGCGGCTCTTCTCTCACGTCTCTTTCCTTCCTGTCCTTTTAACTGAGAATGGATGTGAGTGGTCAACCTCCGGGAGGATGGGTTGCCCTGCCCCTCACAGCTGGGTTTGTGATGATGGCCTGGGACACATCAAGATAAAGCCCTTTCCTTGAACATCCGTCTGTGCTTGGGGACACCTCCCTGAACTTGAGCCCAGCCTGGTTTTGAGGGTCCCGCAGAGCCTGTCACCTGTCTCTGGCCTTCCCCACCCAGGGGCAGGGTCGATCTCAGGACACTTACGTGGTTTTGACAACGACCTTAGTATTTATTCTCAATATCTCCCAGTTTGAATCCCACCAGTCCAGGGTTCGGGCTTAGACTTGGGGGTCTCCTGGGTTTCTTTAAACCAGGCCTTTTAGCTCTTCTGTAAAAGGCCAGTCAGTCTTGTGGGTTGTGTCCGTGTCCTGAGAACCAGGGGGGTGGCTGGTGTTCCAGTGAACATCATTTATTCAGATGGCCGCTGGTCCTCGATCTGCAGAGCCCTCCGTTAAATTGTTGAGAAACGTGTAAAACCATTTCTTTACCTGATTCGACAAATGGGTTCTGACACCGCCTCGTGTTAAGATTGTAGCATGACCGTCTGAGAATGAAGCTTGATTTTTTTTAATCCATTATTTTAAAATTCTAACCAATGCTATATCTGAAATTATAGGACTAATAAATCCAATAATCAGACGTAGTCTCCAGTCCTATAAATGGCTAATCTTACTCTAAGCAGCAAAATTTAAGTAGGCTACAGGGGAAACCTCAGGTGTCTACTCACTCTAAAACCTACGTGGTCGGTGGTGCTGACCTGTGGCACACTGGTTTTTTAATTTTTTTTTTTTTTTACTTGCCGATGGACACAATCCCTTTCTTTTATTTATTTATAGTCATGTGGTGCTGAGAATCAAACCCAGTGCCTCACACGTGCTAGGCAAGCACTCCACCATGGAGCCACAGCCCAGCCCCCAGGACCCATTTGAACAGTGAATTTCAGTAAAACTCTAATAGAATGAAAGAATTTGGTGGGACCAGAGCCCCACGGTGACCCCAGGTGGGAACAGTGTGGCCTACCCTAGCTGAAGGCCTTTCTCGGGAGAGCAGTTCACTACGGGGGCCATGGAGACTCCGGTGGGTCCCCTGCCGCCTCCTGCTCGTAGGGGTCTTAGGCTCCCTGGGCACAGCTAGGAAGTGACTGATGATGGCCTTGCTGACCCTTCCCACTCTGAACGTTCTGATTCTGTGCCCCGCTATCTTCCTTTTCCACTCTGCAGAACTTACTTTGTATTGTCGTGACCTCTTAGAGGGATGAGTACCTCTGCCCTTGTCTTTGTCATGGGTGGTCAGCGGGAAGGACCTAAGGTAGGTCCTGGGGTCAGCTCTGAGTGCCTGCTCGTCTTCCAGGCCTGCAACAACACGAGCGACAGGAAGCACGCGGACTCCATCCTGGAGAAGTACGTCACGGAGATCGTGATGAGCATCGTGACCACCTTCTTCAGCTCGCCCTTCTCGGACCAGAGCACCACTTTGCAGGTGAGGAGCGTGGGCGAGGGCCGGGCCTGCGCAGGAGCCCCGCAGGGCGGAGGTGATGCAGACGTGGGAGCCTGCAGCTGCCAATGAGCCACTTGGCAGAGCACTGATCAGACTCTCCCTGAAGGCCAGCGTCACAGGTGCCCTGGGCTAGACAGGGGACCCACCCCTCAGCAGCAGTAGGGGCTGGTCCCAGGGCTGGCCGGCCATCCCGATTCCAACACCCATGGCTGCTACGCCCCTTCTATAGAATGGCACAGCCTTGCACGCACACCTCCCACGAATCCTAACTCATCTCTTCCTTGCTCGTAGTACTTACTGCAACGTCAGGGCTGGGAAAATAGTGGTTAAAAGATATTGTTTAGGGAACAATGACAGGAAGATAAAGCGGACATGGGATTGGTGCAGGTGCAATGTTTTCATCCCAGAGTTCCCATCCTCGATGGGAGGAGCCTGCAGAGCGGGAACCTGTAGTCAGGACTGACGGTACCTGGGGGAGGTTTCCTTATCCCAAACGGTTCTCTTGGCTGTAGGTTTTGTTGTTGTTTGGGATGTTTTTTTTTTGAACTGGGAATTAGACCAGGGCCTCGTGCGTGGTGTAGCGCCATTGAGCTCTGTCTCCAGGCCTGGTTATTTTTTGATTTTTCTTAAAATCCCTTCTCCCCTTTTCAGTCTTCCCCTCCCTCCCTCCAGTCTTAGAGAAGAACCTCTTTAATAGCTGCTAGCTTATCACCTCTTTTTAAAACAACACAAACACTGGAACTCTCCCTGGTAAGCTGGAGTGTACATGGAGAGTTCCTTGGAAGCGCTGTGTGGCTGGAGTGAGAAGTTGATGAGCCATAACATCAGGTCTGCTGCGTTGCCCAGGTCCACATGCACTGTTCCCATGGATTCTTTACCAATGGTGCTTCTTGGATTTGTGCAATGCATAACCCTGCACCCTTCCACAGTGATTCTCAGTGTTATGTCCCTTGTTAAAGCCTGGAAGAAGATGATGGGCTGCTGTATTAGTCAGCTCCAAGTTACTATGGTGAAATGGTGGAGACAACTGACTTATAAAGAGAAAAGGTTTCTTTAGCTCACAGTTTCAGAGGTTCAAAGACACGGTATTTGGAATAGCTCAGTTTTGGTAAGGATGCTGGGAGTATTTAGGAGCAAAATGAACTGAACTTGAGTTGCAAGGGCCGGGGGAACTGGAGTCCTACAATCTCTGCCAAGGACAGACCCCATGATCTAAAGACCTCTCACTAGGCCTCACCTCTCAAAGGTTCCAACCTCTCCAATAGCACCACCTTGTGGACAAAGCCTTCAATTACATTTAGCCCCTACTGGACTCTCAACAAATCATAGCAGCAGTCATGCCCTTCTGCATAAGAGGTCAAGTGAGCTGATGCCCCCAGAGTGCCCATGGCTTTTGAGCAATGAGGAGGCAGGTCCTCAGAGCCATCTGTTCGTCTCTTCTCTACTCAGATGTCAAAGGAAACCAAGCAGATGTGCAGTAAATGTTGGCTTACTCGAGTGAACTGGTCAGGGGATGCTTCTCTCCGAGTCAGGCTGCCAGGCTCTCATCCCACGTCTAGCACCTGTGGGACCACTCACCTCCTCAGGGTCCTGGCAAGGTTCGGTGGGACAGGAGTGCAGCCCAGCGCCGCTCTCCTTGGGCCCTTGGAGTTCTCGGGAGCAGCCACAAAACTCGGGGGATAAAACTAGGGTTCTTGGCCAATTTCCCAGCCTCCCTGTGTTCCTGTCTTCTGTTAGGAACACAGTTTGCTGTCTTGGATGGCTTGAGGTATGGGGGAGATTCTGAATATTTTATTAATGTTCCATTTTCTTGCAATATACTTTTTTTTTTTTTTTTTTTTTAAAGCAGGAGCACCATACCACTGAGCTACGTCTGGACCCTTTTTTTTTTTTTTAATTTGAAACAGGATCTCCTTAAAGTTGCTGAGGCTGGCCTCAAACTTGCCACAGCCTCCTGAATTGCTGGGATCACAAGCTTGTGGCACCCCCACACCCAGCACAATAGACTGCCTTTGTTCCTCCTAGCACTTTTCATTGTTTTTCTTTTTCTTTTTTTTAAATAACACATTTATTTTATTTATTTATTTTTTTAATGTGGTGCTGAAGATCAAACCCAGGGCCTCGTGCATTCTAGACACACACTCTACTGCTGAGCCTCAGCCCCAGCCTTCCATTGTTTTTCTTTTAGCTCAGAGTTTTCAATGTTTTTTTTTTTCTTTGTTATATTCAATTGTAGTGTTTTCCGGAGGGGCTCTGTGAGTCCTTTCCCCCAAACCAAAGACCAGCAGAGCAGCTCACCATTTATAGTGGTCTTCTCCTTGAAGGCCCAAAGCCTCCTTTGGATGGAGACCAAAATTTACAGCCTTTCTATACATTCAGAAAAATCAGTGTCAGGTGGAATAAGTAGATGTTTGGGGTCTTGTACTTTAGAATGAGCACAAATTTATTCCTTCCTAGTGGGATAAATCCTCCCATGCAGTTAACTTCCGAATATTCTTCCCTAGTAAGTGAAGACTACCCATCAGACTTCTCTTGTCTTTATACATTGAAGATGTTGTCAGAAATAGAGACTTGTCATTCAGGCTCGAACCCTCTTCTCAGTTTGTTTTTTACCAATTAAAATATATATGTTCTGCTCACAGGATATAATGAGTGTAAGTTAACTTTGGAGTTAACTTGCCCCCATCCGCTTGCTTTTTGTATGGGATGAAGCTAAAGCTCAGGGAGATGTAGTCATTGGCCTCAGGTCACACAGCTAGCTGGTAACTGGACAAGGTTTGGGACTTTGATTCCACTGTCCATTTCTGTGGTCAGACTCCATTAGATGACATCACATTTATCACTGCCTTCAAATGCTTCTCAGTGTTTCTTCTCAGATAGGCACTGCTGGTCAGCTCTCTGTCAATATAATGAAACACCTGAGGTAATTATAAAGAGAAAAGGTTTATTTGGGCTCGTTGTCCTGGAAGTTGCAGTGTGTGAGTGGTTGGGCCTGGGGGAGCAGCAGGCCATAGCAGGAGTGTGTGGTCCAGCAGAACCACCCATCTCATCGCAAGCCAGGGTGCAAAAGAGAGCAAGGAAAAGGCCAGATTCCCCCAGTCCCCTTCAAGGGAGTGTCCCCAGTGACCTAAGGGCCTCACTAGGCAGCACCATTCTGGGGACCAAGACGTGTGGGCTTTTGGGAGAGGTTGGACATCCACACTAGAGCAGGGACTCTGGGCTTCGGCCCCAGAACCTCCCAATCCTCCTTGGGGCCTGGTAACTTGCTTGAGGCAGTGTCTCTTTCCAGTCAGGTTGTTGGAGACCTCCAAAGAGTCACCCTGTCCCCGTGCCCCCCGGTCCTGTCCTTTCTTGCAGACTCGCCAGCCTGTCTTCGTGCAGCTGCTGCAGGGCGTGTTCCGGGTCTACCACTGCAACTGGCTGATGCCCAGCCAGAAGGCCTCCGTGGAGAGCTGCATCCGGGTGCTCTCCGACGTAGGTGAGATGTCTGGGGTGATGGGATCCCGGTGCTCTGGACATAGGTGAGATGTCCGTGTGGACGATGGGGTGATGGGCGTCGCCCGCTGCGCTGGGCCCTCCCCTAAGGCTGCACAGACTGACATTGCAGAGCCTCCCTGAAAAGGTCTCCCAGGTCCTCGGCCTCCCTCGGCCTCCCTCGGCCTCCCTTTCATCTGCCAGGCCAGCACTTCCTGCAGTGAGAGCCACACGTCCAGAAGTAAGCTAGGTCTTGAGAAAGATTCCGTGGTCAAGTGTGGGGTGGTTCTTGGCAAGTCTCAGGGTAGGCGGGTTCTTGAAGCCCCTGGGAAGTCCCTCGCGTGTTTAGTCCAACAGAAACATTGACCACGTCCTAGCCCTTCTTCCTGGAAAGCACTGGACAGAACCCCAGGAACATCCCTTTTCAGAAGTGACGCTCCTTCCCACCAGCCCTTCTCAGATAAGTGGCCCTCTGTCCCCTCTCCATTCTCCTGTCACCTTTCATGGGTGGTTTGAAGGAAGTTAAGAAAAAAGTTAGGACAATTACTTCTCTTGACATTATTAGTGGTCCCCTCCCCTCCAGTACTGGGGACAGAACACAGGGCCTCCATATGTGACACAAGCAACACCCCCTTCCCATATATATAAAATCCCAGCAGCTCCAGAGGTTGAGGGAGGAGGATCCTGAGTTCAAAGCCAGCCTCAGCAACTTAGCGAGGCCCTAAGTAACTCAGTGAGACCCTGACTCTAGATAAAATATAAAAAAGGTCTGGAGATGTGGCTCAGTGGTTAAGCGGCCTTGGGTTCAATCCCAAGTACCAAAAATAATAATAATAATAATTAAATAAATAAATAAACCTTCATTTCCACCTGATACCCCACATGTTTCTGGGATACAGGGTTACTGTTTGATACATGCACACAGTGTGTACTGATCCCGTGGGCAGAATGAGGCTTTCTTTCTGGTAGGAGCTTCAGATGACCCTCTTCTAGTTAATTTGAGACAGTTAACTGTTGTAAGTCGTAGACACCCCGCTGTGTGGTAGAGCACATTCTAGAACTTCTTCCTCCCATCTGACTCTACTTTGGTACCCAGCATCCAACCTGTCATTCCCCTTTCTCCCCTTTGCCACCGCCAGCCCCTAGTGACCGCTGTCCTCCACCTCCTGTGAGATCTGCTTAAGCACATAGCCTGCTGTGTACCCACTTCCCACCCTATAAGTGCCGTGTGCAGGGGGTAAGCCTTCCTCTTCTTGAGAAGGATGTCACCTCGGAGTAGCTACTCCCTGCAAAGGAGTCTTGGCACTGTTAAGAGCCTGTTCAGCAAGGATAGATTGTGTTTATTAGGACCCGTTGCCTGGTTTCAGTGGTCCAAGCCTGATTTCTTTTGTTCCCTCATGGTAGGTACTGATGCCTTCTTACTTACATGGCAGTGTTTCACAGTAAGAGACGAGGATTTGAAAGTCTAGATGCTACATGTTCGTGATGAAGCACGGGATTTCTAGCTGAGATGAGTGAATCCCGTGTCCTGTCCTGCTTCTTAATTTTTATATCACTTGTATCTTGCTTCCAACCTTCTCATTTTCTGATTCAACTATTAGGAAATTCTTGAAAGGCTAACGGTTCTTGCCCTAGGTGGTGTATTTTTTATGAGAATTTAAACAGTTGTTTCTGTGATTCTTCTTCCAGGATGTTAAAGTTGTTCCTTGGTTTAGATGCAGGTAGTAGAGCACCTTCTTTCCTTCTGACATTTGGAAGCCCTGACGACAGGAAATCACTGTTTTGATGTTGGAGGTTTTCCCATAGAGCAGCCAGGATTGTCTGTCTCGGTTTCCTTTTTTTAAATAAACTTTTAATTTAGGAATATTTTTAGATTTATAGGAAAGTTGCAGAGATGGTGCAGGGAGCTCCTATGTACCCTTCACCCAGTTCTCCCAGGGGCAGCACCTCCTAGGGGACGTTGGTCTAAACCAAGGAACTGGCATGGCTCTTAGTTGAGCTGTAGACTTGGTTTGGATTTCACCAGTTTTTTCCACGAATGTCCTTTCATGCCAGGGGCGAGTCCCGGCTGCCACCTTGCACACGGTTGTCATTTCTCCAGATCTCCTCTGGCCCGTGGCTGTTCAACGGATGTTTTTCTCATGATTAGATTGGAGTTTGCTTTTTTGTTGTATCAGGGATTGAATCCAGGGGTGCTTAACCACTGAGCCACGTCCCCAGCCCTTTTTATATTTTTTCAGACAAGGGTCTTGTTGATTAGATCTCACTAAATTGCTGAGGCTGACCTTGAATTTGCCATCCTCCTGCCTCAGCCTCCTAAGCCTCCGGGATTGTAGGTGTGCACCCTTATGCCTAGCATGAAGTTTGTCTTTTTCTTTTTTTTTTCCAAATTGTAGATTGGACACAATCCCTATATTTTTTTTCTTTATTTTTATGTGATGCTGAGGATTGAACTCAGTGCCTCATATGTGCTAGGCAAGCACTCTACCACTGAGCTACCTCAGTCTAAGTTACTCTTCTCTTCCCTTCTTAAAAAAAATACTATCTCAAAAGAGTTTTTTGTGTCATCGCGAATGCCGCCTGTGTGATGTTCATCTCACATCAGCATTATGTGGATCGCTGTGTAAAACAACAAACTTGAAAGAGAATCTTTAGAAAAATAATCCACTGGCCAAAAGAGTTCCCTGTTTTGATTCTTAAAAGAACACGTTAGTGCCCTGAAGAAGCCATGTATGGAGGGAACCCATGAATCTGTCAACCCTAACTTGTCAAAACTTGATGACCTGAGATCATTTTAGTGTTCTGAAGAGCTCCCGTCCCCAAACCTTGGGAAGCCCCAATCTAAAAGATAGTGAAGTGGATTCGGGCACAGTGGCACATGCCTGAAATTCCAGCGACTTGGGAGGCTGAGGCAGGAGGATCTCAAGTTCAAAGTCAGTCTCAACAACCTAGTGAGACTCTGTCTCCAAATAAAATATAAAAAAGGGCTGGGGATGTGGTTCAGTGGTTAAGTGCCCCTGGGTTCAATCTCTGGTGCCAAAAGCTGAGAATGTAGCTCAGTGGTAGAGCACCCCTGGATTCCATCCACAGTGCCACAAAGATGGTGGGGTAGTGTCAGGATGTTCAGTCTTCACCCTCGATACCATGCAAGCTGGCAGGTGGTCGGCATGGACAATCTGCCTGACGGGGGATGAGGGGTAAGGCCTTCACAAGTCCTCTCTCCTGTGCAGCCAAGAGCCGGGCCATTGCCATTCCTGTGGACCTGGACAGCCAAGTCAACAACCTCTTCCTGAAGTCACACAACATTGTGCAGAAAACGGCCATGAACTGGCGCCTGTCAGCCCGCAATGCTGCTCGCAGAGACTCTGTTCTGGCAGCTTCCAGAGACTACCGGAATATCATCGAGAGACTACAGGTAATGCCTAGTGCTGAGGGAAGTGGTGCTTCACCTGGCTGAGGTGTTCCCACATGCCCCTGTGCTTCCTCAAGCCTAGGAGCGTCCACGCTCAGGCACAGGGAGACGTCCATGAGGTTTGTGAAGAGTCACGGGTGGCCATAGATGAGCAGCAGGAACACAGAGCTGCTTAGGAAGCCTACTGCTCCTGATGAGGTCAAGGTCTTCCAAGGTCATACACAGAAGTGCAGCTCTCTCTGTGAACACTGGGGACTCTGCCTCATGTGCAAGGCGTGTTTAATTATGACAAAGAGATGCTCAGAATAAGGGCATCGAGGTTCCATTTTTCCCAACACTCCAGAATATCTAGGCTCTTGAACCAGTGGACAATTGAGTATAGCTGATTCCTGAGGGAAGTTGTGAGAAATGAAACTTCAGAATGAGAACGTGAAAACAGAAGTATTCTTAGAATCTAGCTGGACTACATTCTCTGTTTCTGTCCTTCCTCCATTAAAGCATGGTCTCAGGCAAGTGCCTGAATTCAGATTCTGGCACCACTGCTCAGAAGTGGTACCACCTTGGGAAAGGTACTTAACTCCTCTGTGCTCCCTCTCCTCATTTGTAAAATAGAATGATGGTAGCCCCTGCCTCCTGGGGGTGATGTGAGCATTAAGAGAGTTGATAGCATGTCCCAGATTTCTACATCTTGTGAAACGAAGATCAATAGTTACATTATTCTCTTTGACTGTTATGAGGTTGACTGGGCCAGCGTAGTGTCTTGTTCAAGGTCTTTCATGAGGTCTTTCAGTCAGGTTGTGGCCATGGCTAGAATCACCTTTAAACCTTGTTCTATCTCGTATTGATCACTGGATTTGGTGGTCACCTGGGTCTTGGGCTAGAGTCTGAAACATCCACATGGAGCCTCCCCATGTGGCCTGGGCTTCCTCACAACATGGCAGCTGGGGCCCAAGATGAGCATTTCTGGAAGGAGACAGGGAAGGCTGATTGTCTTATCACCTGTTTGTCAGAAAGCACACAGCATCACTTGGGCTGTGCTCTGTTGGTCAAAGTAGCCTCAGAGGTCCACTCTGTTTCGAGGAGAGGAAACATGGACCACCATGGAATGAGAGAGATGTCAGTGTCACATGTGAGAACAACATGGAAAATGGGATACCGTGTAGCCATCCTTGGAAAATTCAGAACCCATTAAGCTAGTGGAACAGTCCCTGGCACGTCCTGAGCACTCTATTAAGAGCTGCCAATGTAATTATTATTATTACAACTGTTGTTACTGCTGCGACTATAATAATTACTATTATTAGGTGAAGTAACTGAGCCTCTGTGAGGTTAGGCAGCCAAGTTTGCAGATGCATCCACCAGCCCCTTGCTGCATACTGGGGATATAAAGTGAGGAGAAAACCCAGAAATGATCTTTGCCTCCTAGAGTCTCACGTTTTGGAGAGGAGGCAGACATTAATCAGCTAATTGTGCAGGTAAACATAAAATGACAGAGGCACAAATCCTGTGGAGAAGTGAGCAGCTCTTGCAGGACTCAGACGAGGAGCCGATCTTGCTGGGCTGGTTAGGGGTGGGGACAAGGAAGGCTTTGCTGAGGGAATAACTTTTGAACCAGGCCAGAAAACAGTAGGATTTAAAGAACTAGGCAGGCAAACAGCACGTGGGAAGACCATTATACAGAGAAGAATAGGAAGCATCCAGAGATATAAGGGAGGTCAGTGCGGCTGGCGATCTGGGGACCAGAGCGGCTGGCAGGCTTCACACATCCAGCCAAGAACTCCATCCTTAGCCGTCACGGTGGCGCACATCTGTAATCCCAGTGTCTTGGGAGGGTGAGGCAGGAGGATCACAGGTTCAAAGCCAGCCTCAGCAATATAGCGAGGCCCTAAGCAACTTAATGAGACCCTGTCTCAAAAACAAAACAAAACAAAAAAAAAACCTGAGGGGTGGGAGGTGTGGCTCAGTGGTTAAATCCCTGTTACCAAAAAAAAAAAAAAAGAATTATATCCTGTATCATGATAGAACCCATTCGTGAGCAAAGGTAGCTGAATTCCGAATGGAAATGCTTCCTAACTTCGCTGTGCTTTTTTAGAAAGGGGGCGTGTAATATATACTCTCGACTCTGAATGCACAGAATCTTCTCACACAATCTACATCATTTACCTGCAGTCAAACACACCCATTTCTTATGCTTTTCTTCAATCTATTATGCATATTTTTGGGATGAATTAGAACACGTTTGTAGGTAATACTAGCTAAAAAGCCTTGCTCAGGGACTTACAGGATCCTCATTCTGCAAATTATTATCCAAGCCTTGCCATGATCCAACAAGAACTTTCAGGATATAAGAACTTTCGCTGGGAAACTGACCCCTTGTATGATTAAATCCTGTTTAGACACTCTTCCCTGAGCATCTTCCCCTACCCATTGCTTTGCTGTCTTTGCTGGCCCCTCCTGATTGCCGGATGTCCTGCGTTTGGCAATGCAATGTAGATCAATTGCTGTCAAGTTCAGATTTTGCAAATGATGTAAGATTTCATGAAATATCATGGATGTCATGTGAAAGAGCTACTTCAGTCCGTCCCATGCCAGTGCCTTAAACAAAGATTTGCCAGACTTAGGGCCAGTAGCTAGTGAAGAAGAGAAAGTTGAGTGCTTCTCAAGGGGAAGCTATTAGGGAAAAAGACCCCCAGAGAATGTTGCAGAAATGACCCCTCTTTTTGACTGCTATGAAAATCACACGAATTAATAGATATTGCGATCTATTGTCTTCCAGTTCTTACTGGGAAAATTACCACTCCCTGCTCCATGCCAAAAAAAAAAAAAAAAAAAAAGGACCTTATTTGATTCATTTATCTATTCTTTACATAACCTAAACATTATTGAATGGTTAAAATTATCACCTAATTTTGTTAAATATAAGGTAAAATTCTCTCCAAGTGGTTTAATTTTAGTTTCTGGTTAAAAGACCTGTCAATTCTTTCTTGGTCCTAGCTGGGTCCCCAGTGGAGGTGAATGCCAATTTAAGCAGCTTCTGCCATTGCAAATCTTGTTTAAACACCCCCCTCCACCCCCCACCGATGATCTAGCGTGCTCTGCCCATCTTAGCATGCTTCCAGTTAAATTCCAAGTCGGCGAGCCGCAGAACAGGCTTAGCATCTTTTGAAGATGACTTCTCATCTGTTTTTCTATCATTTGCCTTTAAATGGTGTTTGTTGTGTTGGTTTTGCTGCTCTTTCAACTTCTCTCTGTTTTCCTTTCCTGCAGCTGTGTGTTTTGCATTTGAAGACCATCATGCTATCAGGGTACATGTATTTAGCATGTTGATACAGCATGTTCATTCATGTGTGTGTTTTCATGTTCATATGACTTGATTGTGTGAGTAATCCATGCTCATTGAAAATACATGACACTGACACTCGATAGAGGAGAATCTGCATCACCTGTAATGCCACCACCCAGAGAAAAGCAGTAGTGATGTTTTCAAAGTAGTCCATATGTATCCTTTAGTTTGGGATTTTGCTTATAAAAATAGCATCATGGTCCATGGTGTTGCTTGACCATTTTTACACTTGTATTGTAGACATCTTTCCATACTGTTAACTGCATTTTTGCATCCTATCTTAAAATATGTGGAATGATCCCCCGAGTAGCACAAAACCATCTCAGAGGAAGGGGAGGTGGGGCGTGATTTGTCGGGTCGGCATCTTCTGCATCAGGAGGCAATGCTTCAGGTGACCATCGCACAGGGTCTGAGCCTGTGAGATCAATGCCACACAGTACTGAAGTCACCCTAACCCAGCCTAGCCTGTGCATTGTGGCTTAGGGCCGCAGTGGGCTCGGGCCCTGCTGCCACCAGCCCTGGCCAGAGCTGGCAACCAAGCCCTGCTTCCATTGCAGGACATTGTCTCAGCCCTGGAGGACCGCCTCAGGCCACTGGTGCAAGCAGAGCTGTCTGTGCTCGTCGATGTCCTGCACAGGCCCGAGCTGCTTTTTCCGGAGAACACAGATGCCCGACGGAAATGCGAAAGTGGTGGTTTCATTTGCAAGTAAGTGGCCCCTTTCTCGGTGGTAGTCAGTGGCCAGAAGTCTGATGACCAGACTGAGCCTTTGTTTCCGCAGAAGGAGACGCTGTCCTGGTGTTTGACTTTGATGGATGCAAGGTCATGTGCTAGAGTCCTGTTCTGACCTTCCCAATGTGGTTCGTCTATTAAATCCTACTTAACTGACAACTTGTTTTTCTTTTTCCTTGTTCTTTCTTTTTTGGTGAGACTCTCTCCTTTTCATTGCATGCCCATTCATTCGCCCTCCAGCAAGTCTCGACAGAGCACCCTCCACGCTCAGCAGCTCAGATGTAAAACAATCATGACTTCTCAGCCTTTACAAATCTCAGGCCCACATGACCTCAGATCTTTTCCTAACAGTTGGGTAGTTCTTAGTTTGTGCCGTGGGGCATAATCTGAAAGAGGCAAGTGGTCCCATGACTAGGGAGCTCTGTTTGATTTTTACCCTGAGTTTGTCTACCTTGGGGGTGGCCCCTGCCTATGAGTTTCTTCCTTTGGAGAACCCCTCAAAGGCTGTGGATTAGGGAACTTTATCCTGTTGAGGTTATTTTTTTATACCCTGTTGGCATATCCCAGCGGCAGTCCTCAGTGGATAAAGAGCCTCACTTCATGAGTGGACCTCCTGGTTTCTCAGCTGCATATTTAATCTCTCCATTGTACATGGTCACTTTCTACCTGCTGAGCCCGTGGGCTGTTAACGGCCAGCAGGTGTCGCTGTGGAGCCACAGTCTGGGTCTCTTCTGGGCGCAGTGACCGTGTCCTCAAGTCGGTTTAACTTTAATAAATATTGGTTCTTTAATCGACTAGTTACAATAAGTTTCTTGTAAAGTGTTTTTAATGGAAAGATAGTTCTAGGGTTGTAATCTGTGGTTTTCCCTCATTCAGGTTAATAAAGCATACTAAACAGCTACTAGAAGAAAATGAGGAGAAACTTTGCATTAAAGTCCTACAGACCCTCAGAGAAATGATGACCAAAGATAGAGGCTACGGAGAAAAGGTACCGTGTTTTATTTTCCTGTGAAAAACATGCCTTGCTATTAAATTGAAGGGATGAGTGTGCTTAGAAATAATCTTAATTATTTCTTAGAAATAATCTTAATTCAGGCATTTTTTAAGCTGTTTAACCTGTTGCTAAAGGTAGCTGAATCATATGAGTGTCTCCTTAAAAGTCAGATGTGCTGGGCTGGGATGTAGCTCAGTGGTAGAGCTTTTGCCTAGGGTGTCTGAGGCCCAGAAAGCTAGAATGTACTTGGTTGTCTCTAATGGGCTGCTCGCCATGTAATGTCAGAGGTTTTCCTCATTTAAGTTCCCAGTGAGAAGTACATACCTCTGAGTGTTCCTGGACTGGGGCTCCAGCTAAGTGCACCTGTGGGGTGGCTTGCTTCTTTCCAACGAGGGGTTGCACAACCCCTCCAGAGCATGAAGGAACACCATCCAGTTCTAACTGGAAACTCAGCAGCAGGCAGATACATCACCATTTCTGAGTGGGATTGTGAAAGGGACAGTCCCCGTGACCTGCTGCTGCTGAGGACACACAGTGAGCAGGCATCGGCCCAGATGTCCTCCTCATCTCCCATGTTGGGCCACGTGGGCGTTTCCAACCCCACTGTCACTTCAGTCCCCAACACAGCATCTCAGGCCTGCGCTCCAGTCACACCTGGTTGCCTTGGCAGGTGCGAAGTCTGCTCAATGTCTGCTGGGCCCTTTGGCAGTGATTTGTGGTAGGTCAATATACAGAGCTTGGTGGCCTTTCAAAATTCCCAGGAACTGATTTTTTTCAGCTCTACAAAGAAGCCTTGATAATTAAATGACAGCCTTCCTTGTCAGAATAGGTGGTGCCCACCAGGCCATCCCACCAACTGCAGGAACCTTGCTTTCTGAGCTCCACGACTCCTCTCATTCATATTAGAACAGCTTCAGACAAGAGGGTCCTTACATAAGAAAACATCTGATCCTCCGAGTGCTCAGCCTTCCTCCACTGCCCCCCAATCACAAGGCTTTTAAGTGTTACTCTTAATGTTTAAAATACATAAATTAAAAGGTGAACAAATATTGACTAATTAGAAAACAGTTTTCTGTAACTCAGTAGGAATTTTTGGAGACATCATGCCCGGCAAGAGTTTATAAATATAAATAAAAGCAAAGAACCCTAGTACATTGGAGAAATATGAGAGGGTCTATTCAAACAGCTGTTGCCTAGACACCTAGGCAGGTCTTCCCCCCCACTCCTTTTTCCTGGCATTGGGGATTGAACCCAGGGGTGCTTAACCACTGAGCCACATTCCCAGCTCTTTTATGTTTTATCTTGAGGCTGGGTCTCGCTAAGTTACCGAGGCTGCCCTTGAACTTGCCATCCTCCTGCCTCAGCCTCCTGAGTCGCGGGATTGTAGGGGGCATGCATCCCTGTACCCAGCCCCTTAACTCAAGTTTCTTAATATGGTGAAGAAATTCATCACACCCAAGCAGAGAGGCTGGGAGGAGAGAGCTTTCTTTCCAGAGGTTGGGCCTGTCATCCCCCATCACCAAAAGGAAAATCCTGTGGATGAGGATGGTCATGAAGCTGAGGAAGGCATTCTAGAAACCTCTGTTTGTCTAGCAGCTACCAGCACAGAGCTGCAGCTCTCATCCCCATGTTTTGGTGGCTGCAAAATGCCAACCAGCCATTCCTATGAGTGCCACTCTAGAGGGGACTGAGGACACTAAAGCACTCTGCTTCTCCCCCTCTGGTCTTTGGTATTAACTCCGCTCCCTCCAGGCTTTCTGAAGATATTTTTGACACCTTACTAACTGTTCCCATTGACAGAAGAAGCGTGATCCACAGGGCAGGCCAACTTCGTCAAGGGTGGAAGTCACCCGGAGCCAAAGAACTAACCTTTCTCAAGCAAACCAGTTGGCTCTCATTGGTGAAATCAAAGAGGTATTCTTTGGCCTGGGAGCTGAGGCGTTTTCCTCCTCCCATCTCAGCTACCTCTGACGGGCAGCTTGTCCCATGACCATCACCTTCCTGTGGGTGCCAGGGCTGTTTGGCTTCCCTGCCCTCCCCCTGCATTCAAGGAGCCCAAGCTGAGGGCTAAGACGAGAGTCCACAGTCGCATGAAGTGTCTGTGGTGGGGTCAGGGCTGGAACCCAGGTCTCCAGCCTCCCCAAGGGTCATCCACCGGCATGGACCATGTCGTCTTGTCTTTTCTAATCTGTCATCATTATAAGTGACGAGGCTTAGGTAGCCTTCCCTCATCTCTACATTTTATTCAACCTTAGGATAGAGTCAGGGTCACACATAAATAATAAACTGGAAATCATCCTGTATGTTCCTGTTCAAAAACGGTGGTGTGCTTAGATGAGTCTACTTGCCTGGAAACAAAATTTAAAAAGAAGAAGAAGCCATTGAGAACTGTTACCTGTATTAAAAATCGATTAAAATATACCAGAGTCACCGTCAGACTGTAACTGTTATGTGTACCCACCAGTTTGGTAGAGGATGTCTTTAATAACAATGGTAACTTTTATTGGCTTCTTGTTGGGTGCCACAGACTACACTGAGCATGTCTCCTACCTTATTTCAGATCAGCCTCAGTGATAGGTATCATTATTGTTACTATTTTTAAACATGAGTTACAAGATTCCAGTTCAGAGAGGTTCGGAAACTTGCCTGGGGTCACACATCTGATAACCAGCAAGACAGGAACTTAAACCCAGACAGGCAGGCTGATTCCAGAGACCAGCTCTGCACAACTGGATCCCACCTAAGTGAACAGACACCATTTGAGTGTTTTAAGTCCACCTACAGGTTTAATATCTAAGTTTTCATCATGTTACATGATAGTGTCAACGGGGGCACTGGCCCCAGTAGCACCAAGTATAGCAGAGCTTAAACACTAGGCTTTAGCTTACTTCTGATCCCTGTGCTGGTGCATTTTTCTCTTACTATAATAAACTACCAGGAGCTGGTGATGTTATAAAGCAAAGAAGTTTATTTAGCTTCCAGTTTGGAAGACTTAAAGTCCAAGATGAGGCAACCTCATTAATTTGCCCTCTGGTAAGGGCCAGATGGGGATTGGCACCAGGTGGAGCCTCTGGGGGAGCCAGAAATCACATTCTGAGCCAGCTTCTTGATGGAGAGGGAACTCACTTTGGCAAGTAACTCAAAATCCTACAAGAAGAACCTTCATTTCTTTCAGGGAGGACTGCCAGTGACGTCAATGCATCCTGCTAGGTCCTACCACCTCCCGGCATCTCTGTACTGAGGTCCAACCTCCCACGTGTGACCGTTGGGGGGACACATACCCAAACCCTAGCAATCACTTAGGAACAAAAATATCATTAGTTATTAAGACTCTAAAGTGCAAATGACCAGAAATGAGTGTTCTCAGAGTGGAATATGAGATAAAGAAATATTAAAAATCATCACTGAAATGATGGTGGAATACATTTTTGTACGATGCTTATAGTAACTGTATAACCTGTCTATTCAAAGCAAACTTCCAATTTATTTGAGTTTATCTCAGGACTTTGCAAACACTTTGGGGGATTCCTACTAAACTCTGCTTTTAATCTACAGATTAAAACCAAGTCCATATTTAAGGAACAACCAAATAAAATTAAAAAACCCTCCATGGCTAAGCATCTCTAAAATTTAATTCAAATCTCTCTCTCTAACACACACACACAAAAATCTTCAGGCCCCTGGGCCATGCTGGAAAAGGGGACTACAGTTAGTGAATTGGCTACTGTAGTTGACTAGGTTTTTATTCAGCTACTGTTGACTTAAATTATTAAAGAGCTCTGGGAAGGAATTTGGAGTCCAGGAATTTGTGTAAAAGGATAGCTCAGAATTTACTTAGAATTCCATTTTTCCTTCTGAATAGTCTTAGCTGTTTGGTACTAGAGAGCCCAGGATCCCAGGTAAGGCGGGGGGTCTCCTTTTCCTGTAATCCTTGTTAATTACCAAAGCTGCTTTGTCCTAGGTGAGTAAAGCATTGATATTTCAAGCCAGTAATCTTTCCGATAGCCACTTCAATTCGCAGAACATACTAAATACAAAATGTGGTAAAATCACATGAGAGTCTTCCCTCTGTCCTGAAACAGGGATCATTGTGATCATTCTCTCGTGAGTCTTTCCTTTCCCTAGTATTTGAGTTAATACGTGCTGTGTTACGGGTGTGACTTGGGTCAGCGCCAACTGTGCTGTCCCTGTCCCTCGGTCATCAGCAGTATGAGCCTAGGACTGCTGGGTCTCATTGGGCTCATCAGCAGGGTGAGCTCCTGACCCCACTGAAACCATGAAATAAGTCTCAGGCAACAACTTCCTTCTAAATTGAGTCAGTCCTACTCTAGACTTCCTCTCTGTTCTTTCTGTCCTCTGCCAAAAGAAGCGTTGCTTGGGGAATTGGCCCTTGTTCCCACCCGGTTCCACCTCATGTCCCCGTCAGGGAGTGCAGGGCCCTCTGGATGCGTGGCCTAGTGACTCGGGAGGTTTGATACCTGGATGCGAATGAACTGTGGCAGCATCCTGCCCCCTTTGATCCAGATATCCACAGATGTTGCTGCAAGCTGTGGTCCACAATGCCCCAGACCCTAAAAACCATCACCATCTAACAGCCCTTTAAGGTGACCCACAAGAATACATTTACAGAGTCTCTAACACTTAGCAGGCTATGTTTCTTTTTCTAACCTCTCTTTCTTTTTCTCCCCTTTTTTTCTTTTCCAGCAAATTTCCATTGATGAGTTGGATAATGCTGAGGTCCTAATTTGGTTGCTTTTTTGTTCTGAATGTCCCATGGTGGCGTTTCCATGACGCTCTTCCAGTTAGCCCCGTGCCTTTGTCTTCTGGTCTCCATGCGTCTAAGTACCTGACTCTGTGTAGCGCCCTTTGGGGAGTAAATAGAATCTGTCCTGTCTCTGTGAGCATTTCCCATGAGTTTGTTTGCCATTTGTCGCTGAAGATCCCATCTGAGTCTGGACAAAGATTCTCAAAACTCTGATAAGATTCCATTCATT